ATTGCACTGCCAGCAAAGTACTGCCTGTCTTAAAATGGGTTAATTTCGCGTCACGCCCCAATTCAAAATTTTAAATTTTTACGATTTTTATTGTTTCTAATTATAAATATCTCAGCGAGCATCCCCCCCCCCCCTTATAACGAAAAGCACCATTGTAATCCTGCGGGGGCGTCAAATGCCGTCAAAACATTACACAAACCAAAACAATAATATATTTACTCACCGCTTGGCCAAACATTCTGTATTTCATATCGAGAAAAAAACCTTGAATATCTTCTAAACTCTTCACAATTTGTTCAGAGTAAATGTGAATAAAATACGTCTTGTATTCAAGCGCTTTCATGTACAAAGTTTCGTTTGAATGCGGCACAGAGCAGAAATATTTATTTGAATTTTTCAAAATATCGGGTTTTTACTCGCACGCACGCGCCACGTTGATGCTTTATATTATACCATATTTTATAGCCCGATCGACCAGTGGCAAGGTTTGCACGTGCATACAGAATCGATTTCCAGTTTTTCAGACCCCTACGATTTAATTAAAGGATTAGTGTCAGGGTCATGCATTGCGGGCTTTTGTTATTGTTTACGTAAATGTTTAAACACGCGTGATTTATTTCCTGTTGGTTGCAGAGTCATAAAAACGCACATATTAGTAAAGAATTAGCCTCCTCCGCAGGCAACTGTGTAGTTCTGCAACGTTATTAACCATAAAAAAATTTATCAGGAACGTAGAAAATACAAGGAAATACTAGTTCTGAAATATTATATGATATTAATAAACACTGGAGCGTAAAAATAGGGAGGCTTGTGGATAATGTAGGAAGTAATGGGATAATAGTGGGGCGAAAACGAGAAACGAGAGAAGGGAGAGTTGCCTGCCAAAAATCGATTGGTTGGACACGGCTCTTCACCTTCATGGACCTGACAATTCACCCGGGGTAGGGTAGGGAAGTTTTTGCTTCTCTCGAAGTCTCGAACGGAAAACAACATGGCGAGCGCGCCGAGCGAAAGTCAAGAGCGACAAAATCCTTCAAAAATTCCACGCTATTGTCGAACGCAGATTCCTGTTTGTAGTCTATACAATACAAGAAAACATTGCGAGATATTAATAAGAAACGTTCGCAAATTGAAGAAGCACATGAAGAAAGATGTATTGGAAAAGCAAAGAAGCACACTTGGTATAAGTACATGTATGATAAACACAGCTCATCAAAACATCGGTAATGAAGAAGAATGCTCAAAGAGTCAGCGAGAACAAGGGACAAGAAAAGTTATATTTACTCCTGGTGGAACCAAACGAAAAGGTATGAAACATAATATTCGGATGTTGAAACTACTGCTCATCGAAAAACTGGCTACCAGAAGTTCAAGATGAATTTAAAAGATGCTTTAGAGAATATTATTTCTAAAACCACAGCTTCTGATTCAATAATAATGGTTGACGAGCTGGTTGACAAAATTAAAAACAAATATTCAGAAGAACATGGTTTTGAAAGGGGGAATATTGTGAACTTCATATCAAAGACATATGGAAGGAAAGTCGAGTATATTGGGAAAAAGAAAAGGTAAAGATTACTTTTGATGTCACAAGTTATACATATAACTTATTTAATGTATGAGTTTGATTATGGTGCAATGCTATTAAGGGTGTGATACATTTGCATGGTTTTACCATCCACAATCATGAAAATAGTTTAGCCTAAAGGCCCATTATTGTTTTTCGTGATGCATGTTAATGAGTTGATGGGTTATGAATGTTTCGAGTACAGTATGTTTACCGACCTGAACATTTATAACTCATCCACATGTTCACATCAATTAGAAGTGTAAACAGACCTTTACTGCATGTATAATAAAACATTTTGATGCAACCTTGAAAGTTTCAAAATAAAAGCCATGTAGTATATTCCTATGTAAAGCAATGTACAGTAGCCCATACTGTATATGTGCTAGTCTCATTTACCATAGTTTCTGACAGTGAAATTATGCCAGTGAAACTGATAAAATTTGCCGAGTTTGTTCCAGAAATGATCTGCACACTGTGTATTGTGTATATGAGTAGGGTGTAAAATTCACCTGAATGGGGGATACTCTGTCTAATTCTCCTCTATGCTCCTTTACATGTACATGGAATTACAAACTTTTGAAAGTAAAAATGATTTGAAATCTATTGTATTTTGGTGTCAATTTTTTCCTTTTTTCAAGGGCATATTATCGAGGGCTAATGTTCATTGATACTGATTAATTGATTGAAGAAGGTATTTATTGTGCTAAAGTTTTTTTTTATGAAATTATTTCATTTTGGTATCACCAAAAGCCATTTAGTGGTATTACTTTTAGCTAATCATTCAGTGCAAAGTGTGTTGCAAGATTTAGCAGACTATATGTCTGGCAGCTTTAAATACAATGATCCATTTTGTGTTATTTCATTCTTTCCAATGGAAGATGATTTTTTCTGATTCTCACAAAAAGGAAGGTGTTGGGTCTTATGATAATACAAAAACTATGAAAATCTTACACACAGTGCCAGCATTGTAGTTGTGTTATATTAACCCTTTACCTATTGGAGTGCAAGACCCTCCCATTGGCGAGTAAAATAGTCCAGCATTAGACATAGTAAAAAAATAAAGTAGGGCGCATTTGGGTGTATTGCTGCGTAAGGGGAGAGTCTCACACTTTAATGGGTTAACAAAACAATCTGCCAATGTGTATTGTTAACCCTTTAAGCAACAATGCACCTTATTCTTTCACTCAGCAATAAGCCACCCCCCCCCCTGTGTCTTTGCAGGGTTTATTTTAGCGTGCAGTTCTACACAAAATGTGCAGTTCTAAACCCATTTGTGCAGTTCTTAGAGCAAAAATGTGCAGTCACCGAACTAACAAAAATAGCCTTAATTAAAACAGTCTTCTCATTTACTCGTTACCCTTGTGGATGCTCTAGAAAATTCCAGAAATGCTGTCATTAATTGAGCATCACTCCAGACCCTCCTATTTTCCTCACAAATCACTTACGTGTTGGGGTAATAGAAAAGTGGTTGGGTAAAACAAATCTTTGCCAGAACTTAAGAGCCTCTAGATTCAAATTGTTTTGAGGAACACCCTTAGCTCCAGCACTCAAAATCGAGTTTCTCAGGCCTTTCTCCAATTCTCCCACCCAACCACACCATTGTTCTGTCACCTATATGCAGGTAAAAATTCCTTTGTCCTCCAGTCCTCCACCCACCCCCAGTCAAACATGTGCAGTTCTAAATTTTTCTTAAAATAAACCCTGTGTCTCTGTCTAATGCCAGCCGATTTTACTCGTCAAGGGGAGAGTCTTGCACTTTGACGGATTAAACATAATAATTTTTCCCAAAGGATTACTTTGATAGTTAATTGCATTTATAAAATACACAGCCAAAACAAATGTTGGTATATTTAGTTCTCAATTCTCTTACAGATATTATAGAACAGAATGATCGTATTGTGAGGCCTCGAAGTAAAGTGAGGAGTAGTATGTATATAAATAATGACATAACAAATGCCCGAGAAATCAAGTGACAGAATGCTTCACACACTTGTTACTTTTGCTTATTGGATTCTTATTTGTCCTACATTGTAATGCAAATATTTGCTTCCTCAAGGGAGTTTTCATTATGTATGGTATGGATTACTTGGAGGCAGCATTCTATGTCCTAGCAACCTTTAAATATGCAATTTGCTTTTGGCAACAGCAAAATTCTCATGACCCTACCAGGAAGAACCAAACCTTATTGTTTTCCATCTCCTTCCCTGGCATACAGTCAATGAATACTTCTTGATTTGGCTTAATGATTTCATTGATCCCCAAACCATAAAAGTGTCTAAAGCTATGGTTCGCAGAAATGAGGCTAATGATGCAAATATTTGAATTTCTGTTGTGCTAAACCTCTGTTAAAATGACTGTTTCATTCCAACCTTGAATGACTGCTACAATGACACTGTAAGTTTCAACTTTTCTTTCCAGATCAATATTTATTTTGATTATCTTTTACAAATATTATAGGTATTGATTATGAATGCTTTGAGAATGTTAGAACAGATGGGGAAGTTGCTGCACAACTTGTTTCTACAAGTAATAATAATATTAATATAATATCATTTTTCTTGCTCCACGAAAATCTAATTCTGAAAATCTACTTCTAAATCAACTCAATGAACATTCATGTTTTGTAGGTTCTGATGATTTCATGTGTATGCATGAGTTAGTAGTTCAAACAGCAAATCTGGAAGACGTAATGGAGTCACCAGGAAAAACAAGTGATGAAAAAAGTAAAAGTTGTGATGCAGATAGTGCCAAGAAATCCTTGAATGAATATGATGCTAATGTTCAAGACATCATTAAACTACAAGAGCATGTAATAGCAACGCAGCACGAAATTATTTCAAGTGGGAGTTTCTTAGGTGGGCTGTTGTCATTGTCAGAAAAAAAATGCTTATTAAATCTGAAGTAAATCAAGCGAAGCAAATATTCAACCTCAAGATACGAGAAAACAAGAGGAAAGACATAAGCGAAGTGTTCAATCCACTCCTTTTCCAGCAATTGCTCGTAGATATTAAGAATGCATGCCCAACCATAACTGCTGTTCTGGAACTACTTGTACTGACAAAAAATACGTCACGAAATGTTTTAAAAACAGAAAATGTGAAGATGAAAGCCGCAGTACATCTTTTGGCGTCAATGATGGACATCCACGATCAGCATGGCAACAATGACATCCCATTGCTATTTGGGCTGCTATGTCTTTGTTATGGAGCAGGACCATCTCTGATACGAATGCTGCAATGCCTTGGTTTGTCCGAATCATTTCCCACGCTGTATGTTTGGAAATTGGAGACTAAGTATTCATTAGTACTGCTTACGCTCATATTTTAGGCTAACTCATACTCAATGAGAACAGGTTCAATCTGAGTTTCCCTTGGGTGGCATTGCCGTTTTTGCACATAGTAAGGTACGACAATAACCCTCCAGCTATTCAAAAATATCAAAGACACTCAAGAGAAGCTCAGATTGAACATCCACTCATTGATTGTGAGTGAGCTTTTATTGAGCTTTCGTTTAATGTACAATTGCTTCGCAAAATTAAGTATTTAAATGCACGTGCGTGGGATATCAGACAAACATGTATACATGTAGTAAGGGATTTTCAGATTTGCTTCAACTTCCACACCCTTGGGGAATTTATTCTATAACTGTCGTGTCCATATATACCTAACATGTAATCTTTTTTTCTGAAGGATTTCTATTCTGAAAACTCAGTTGGCGAGTTATAAAGAAGTAATTGGCCAGCGTTTATCCAATCAGTTACCAGTGATAACATATCAGGATAACATGCAAATTAGTCGCACATCACTCAGGCATTTAAGGTTGTCAAAGCTGCAAAAGGAGAAAATCAAACAAGGAAAGATGTGGGACTTTACCGTACGTGGGTGGCGAGAAGCAGACATTACAGGAATTGAACACCACTTTAATGAAAAAGAAGCTGTAGAAGCACAGAAACCTGAGTGTAAAAAAAACTTCTATTCAAGGATACCAAGATTGGCAAGTGTTTTCGTTTCCTAGGAAAATTAGTGTACTGGGGCCAGTCGTTCAATAGCCAGTTAGCTTGTAATCCTGGGTTAATGTACAATTCAAAGCAAACTTCCCAACAGCTTGCTTATAAACCTGGGAGAATTTTTTCAGAAACCTTGTTTGTCTTGTCAGAAGGTTAATTTTATGAAGTTTTGAATTAAATAGAAGTGCAGATGCACCCAAACCAAAAACAGCAGGTTAAATTTTAATGAATCTGAAATTACGATTACGATGGACTACGGAGTATAGAAGTGCTTACTTACCGATTAAGCATAGGGTACTTGAAATTAAAATTTGAAATCCACTTGGGAGTCACTTTCAAAAGTTTTACATTCAATTCCCAATTCCCAAATACGATTCCCACGTGTTATTTTCAGTAAAAGATGCCATATAAAGTTTAAGATCCCATATCAAAGCCAACGAACTCATCTTAATTGCTTTGTAAAAATCGAATCGTTTAATCACGTTTTTACGCACAATAACATGTTCACGTCAGGTTGAGACCTTCATGCGCATAGTTTGGCACTCATTTCCGTATAATTTGATTTCGACCGATAATTTCCATTCGAAGAGCATTCGATATATACACACGGTATATTACAGTTACGTTAACCTGTCAATGTTTTTCCGTTAGAGAGCCATGCAGAACTGAACAAGAAATGGACCTCGTACCAAGAGCGAAATTTGTTGCGTAAAATGGATTTAGCTTTAAACGTCTTTCCTGAAACGGCGGAGCAAATCCAATCCTCGTCCAGTGATCATCTACGAGAAATGTCTGATTCTGCTGAGTCGAAGGTGAATCAACGAGTTGATGCTAAGCAATTTAAAATCAACATCCCACAGATAGAAGAAGACTTCCATGATCTTGCTACGAAGAAGACAAAGATATTTCCTCTTCCAATATCGCACGAAAATCAGTGCAAGACAGTTGGTGTTGCGAGCAATTTGGACCTGTTTGCGGAGGAATTTAAATTTAAAAGCGAAAAAAAATCCAAGTTCATCCATCTTAAAAGTTGTGGTAAGGAATTCGACGTAAACAGAGCGTATGAGCGTTTTGCCTTTTTGAAGAGTTTGGAACAACATAAAAAACAGCAACGGCAGTATGAAAGCATTTTGAGGGGAGAGACTGAAAAACTTGGTGAAAGCACAGCCTAGACCTAGGCCTTCTATTTTTTTATTTTTTTTAATATTCAGCGCTTTTTCATATGAAAAGACTGGGACTAGGTGATTTGGGGGCGGGGCAGAGGAAGGACACAAGCCTGACGCAAGCGAAAAAATAAAAGGCCTAGTGGATTTCCCAACAACAAGGCCAAAACTGCCCTGAAACTGCCCTGATTGCGAAATGCCCAATTATTGCGTTCTTAAACAGAATTATTTGCAACTTAACAGCGAATTTAAACCGATACAGGTAAAATAAACTCATTTATAGTATAAACTTACTATTTTTAGTTGTATACACGTCTAGAAAATCGGGTTTTTTATCATAAAGTTTGAAGCAACACTATTATTATGTTGACAAGGTGAAGCGAAAGCACAAAATAATAATTCTTTTATTCGCAAGACAATCTACTGTTTTGCTTGAATAACTATATTTGCGAATTGGGAATGAGGATTTTGAAATTATTGTTCAAATATTACGGATATACCATTTGTAAACAATGTAAGTTTTTATATACAGTACTGTACGGGCTAATAATATATGTATCCGTTTTATTTAATAAATTATAATTGTATATGTGTTTGTATATTTTACAAACACAAGACTGCTTCTTGCCAAAATTGAGAAAATATATATTAATGTAGTTGTGTATAAGACAAAATTTCATGAAAGATTCTACTTTTGGTATATATTTTGACTCATTTTGTACTTTCGCTACACCTTGTCAACATATTAAATAATAGTGTTGCTTCGAATTTTATGATAAAAAAACCGATTTTCTAGACGTGTATACAACTAAAAATAGTAAGTTTATACTATAAATGAGTTTATTTTACCTGTATCGGTTTAAATTCGCCGTTAAATTGCAAATAATTCTGTTTGAGAACGCAACAATTGGGCATTTCGCAACCAGGGCAGTTTCAGGGCAGTTTTGGCCTTGTTGTTGGGAAATCCACTAGGCCTTCTAGGCTTGCTTCCTCCGCCCCACCCTCAAAATCACCTAGTCCCAGTCTTTTCATGTGAAAAAGCGCTGAATATTAAAAAAATATAAATAAGACTAGAAGGCCTAGGTCTAGGCTGGTGAAAGCACATATGACACAGAGTCAACCGAAGTACTTACTACAGTCAAAGATGACTTTTCCAGTGATTGCGAAAAAGATTAAATATAAATAAAAGTTATTATTCATTATATTATCTTCTGGGTTCTTTTCATTTGTACAAAATCACATGCTAATATTTCTTTACTTTCATTCGACCCGTTAGCCTAGGAGCCTTTTGACACTTAGCACACTTTGAGGTTGGTCTAAATTAAAGCGATCTCAAACCGATCTGAGGACGTTGCATTAAGGCGAAAGACAATTTACTCGTGCCATATCAAAAAGGTGTATTCTGCCTAACATGCTGTATGCTGAACAATACATATCATAAGAAACTGAATTATGTTTGAGCATGCATAAAACTACATAATTTCATAAGTACTAATCTTGCCATGACCATTGGGTGAAATATATAGATACTAAAAGGCTGGCTGTTGAGTCATCGACATGTCAAACTTATTGACGTGATAATTTTGCGAATTTTTTCCAAAATTGTGGCATATATTGTACCATAACCAATCTCAAAGGTTATTGAAAACATGGCGGCAATATCTCATGAGTATGGTAATCTAGATTGGCCGCAATTAATATGTAAAATAGGCATTAAAGATGTAAACAAAGAACTAGATAAACGTTTCAATTCTGTGTTTGGGATACTACGAGATATTGCGTCAGTAAGTACCAGCGATATGTATTTAACTGAAAGAATTAATTCGCTGAAAGCAACATGGTTTCCAGCACGAGATCAATACGAAAGAAGCGTGCTTCATGTGGCATCGCTGAACGGCAATACTCGACTTGTTCGCTGTCTCATGTATTCTGGCTGTCCAATCAATTTAAAAGACGGCATCGGACAAACACCTTTAACCCTAGCGCTGCATATGGGTCATACAGTTACTACCAAAGTTCTACTTGACTGTGGTGCGTCAGTTCGTGAGCAGTTTTTTCTTGACACTATTCCCCCCATAGATATTGCTAAAGTTAAGAAAGACGAACTTATGATCGAGTTGATTGAGCAAAAAATTAGAGAAGAAGAAAAAATTATTAATCAAATGAAATCAAATTTTAATAAACCAATTTCAGACGAAAGCACAGATATGGAAAATAGTAGCACTAGCAAGCCCTCAAATGTTGCAAGAAAATTAAACATGAACGTTGGTGACCAAAAAAATACTGTACTTGTACAAGGCTGTGCAAACCGATGCCCAGATGTGTATGGATGCCACACACCTGGTGGAGGAGATTTCCGTTGTCGTGGATATGTAAATGAATGTATTGCACGCATTGCTGGTCCAGGGGGATTTTGGCATGTAGTGGAAAACATAATGAAAAGGCCAACTGTTAATCGATCATCATTCAAGTCTAAGTTCAAGGACAACAACTATAACAACAACGAGGAGGCACTTTTGGATTATGACGATGGTCTTTCAATTGCTATGATCAAGTCTTTCCGAAAGTCACCCTGCTTTCCTTGCATCCGAGTTGGATCAGTGTCTTAAAGACACTAAATCCCATAACAAAATATTGATTGATAGATTTAAAGTATGGGTGAAGCAACAAGAGGAACAGGATGCCATATTTAAATATCAATCCCAAGTTGTCAACCAGTTAATGCCAATAACAAGATGGTATAAGGAATCTGTGAGGTATGTAAATTGATTTTTGTGTGGAATTTGGCAAATGAACCCACTGCTTCAATCTGGGACAAATCCTGTTGTAAGACATGACAAATTTCCTATATGACCTACACACATAAAGCAATTGACCAAAATAAATGTCCGCCCGACTAGCAAATTCGACTCAATATTTGGTTTACTAAATAGTGCTGCTTTACACAAATTGAATATTATTTAGGTAGGAAAGCAGAGAAAATTGTAACATATTTACGCAAAAACTGTTAATTTTAAAGAAAGTGTTGCAATTGTTTTGAAGTAACTTTTGTATGTTAACTTATTGAACACAAGCACTCTCCCCTTGACGAGTAAAATATTCTGGCATTAGACAGAGAAAGATTCTAAAGTACGGTGCTTCATGGTGCGATGCAACTTAGTGGGTTAACCACGCATTTTACAGAATATTTACATTTAACCAAATGAAAAATTGACACAGCAGTTTCAAGATTATATCTGTTATTAAAAAACTCATTATGAGGAAAATACAAACAAAATGAATGTTTAATCAATGTTCGCAAATTCGATAAAAATTTGTCCTGATTTACATAAACTTCTGCTTTAATTTTCTCGGCTTTGACAGTGTATATTTTTAAAATTACTTTGCCAATGAACTCATAAGATGGGTCATTTTTTAAGCACGTTAATACATTCGCATCCAATCTTTATCTGACATACAAACTCTCGCCTTTGGCTCAAGTCTGTATATCAGATAGAGGTCGGCTGCTCATGTTTTAACTAGTACTATTAAAAATCTTATTAATAACAGCATATACTATAAATACAAACAAGTCTTTTGGTAAAGTGGTGAATTTTTTTTTTTATTAGGCATGGAAATGGTCATGCAATTGAAAGTGTCTGGATGCTCTGCCCTGCTCTTTTTTGCCAAATGGGCAAAATAAATTATAGAGATGAGGCATTTACACACATTGTCAATGCTACTGCCAAATGGCCATATGCGTATCGTCTTATGTACCAGAGAAATAAAACTGTTAATCTTGAAGGTAAGCAAGGAAAGCAACTGGCTGGGGACGAGTGGGTTGAAGACTACCTTGTTAGACCAGTCAAGCAGTTTACAAGTGCTCAAAGTTCATTTTCTATGGTTGAACTAATGTCATGTAGTGTTAACCTACTGGAAATGAATCGCAAGATGTACAAGGCAAAGGAAGCATTTGATATTTATCATACAAGAAAACATAAGAAGCCATCATCTTTGTATGATCAAATCAAAGTAGCTCAGTTTGTAATTAAAGAAAGATGGTTTGAATGCGAACAGCGAAAAGATGTTCATCAATACTCGTGGGCTGGTAAGACAGTCAAGGAAGGGCAAACTGTACCCAAAAAGTGTATAGATGCTCTATCTAAAGGGGCGGAGAAAGCAAGTGAGGAATTTGTACCATTTTACACAGAAAGTTTCCAATTGAAATGTTATAAACTGTGACATAGTTGATTTATGAGATGCAAAATATGCACATGATACTGACTATCCAGATTTGTTGCATGAAATTACCTTGAAGATACTGTAGATAATGTGATAGTTTTTTCTGATGTAAAGATTTAGTTTGTTTAATATGGTAAAGACAAATGTAGAATTTATTTAAAAATAAAATGTGGTCTATTTACACTTACTAATATATTTGGTCATGCTATGCAAAAAATTTCTGTGATCATAGACTGAAAACAATCAGTTTCCAAAGAAATGAATGATTAAAAATTTGCATAGCATGACCAAATTGTCGGGCTGTCTTGGCCACTGGATACAAGTACTTTGAACTTCCACCATTTTAACATAAAGTATTACAATCTATTAAGATTTTTCATACCGAGATACAGTTACTCTCAGAGCTAGAAGGTCATGTGCTTTGGGACCTAAAACAAGTTTTAAGTAAAGACTTCTACCTTTTTTCTGTGGTATTTCTGCTAAAATACCAAAATATATAAGGCTATGCAAAAACTTGTCCAGTAAAACTGTTGGTATGAAACGTTTTTCAAGGCAACCAAAATTTGACAACACATCCAATTCTTGTTCCTTTATAATTTTTTGCCGACTTGCCAAAAAAAGTTTCAAAGTGTTGCATGTAAATATACGTCCTGTCAATTCTACTATTGCCTGGACCACCTTCAAAGCATCTGATGTCCCATCTGTGACATAGAATTCACCACGGTTGCAACAATTATCACAAATTACTCCACACATAAAGTCCTGTAGACTTTCACCAAAGAAAATCATAAGACTTCTGTGACGACATTGCACTGGGTCTTCCAAAAATGTTCGTTCAATGTTGAAACTTGATCACTTCTCTTTTGTCACCATAACTGTAGAATAAAATACACTTCGAGGGCAATTCAACTCGACCAGCACGTCCGCATTGTTGATAATACTCCTCTAAGCTTGTTGGCATGCGTGCATGGATAATGTATCGGACATCTTTTTTGTCAATGCCCATTCCAAATGAGGAATTTGCAACAATAACATGACACTCATCGTTGAACCATTTGATATGGTTACTTACTCGAACATCTTCAGATAACTGCCCATGATATTTGACAGATTGCACTCCCCTTTTCAAAAGTTCCGCATGAACTGTTGCAACATCTTTTGGCAAAACACAATATATAATCCCACTTTCATTTTTATGTTCCAAAATAAAATCCTTCACTTCATCATAAAATTTGTTTGTTCGTTCTTTCACTTCTAAGAAAAGGTTTTCCCGAAAAACTGATGTTCTCAGAACAGTTAGGTAGTTGCATCCCTTCAAACCATTTTTTTTATTTTTAAAAATAACAAAGTGAAAATATCATTTTCTGAAAGGGTTAGGTCATGTAAAATGAACTATGAAAAAAAATTAACAAGGTCACTAATTGCACTAATTATCCAATATGGCGGCTCTTAATTAGGCCATATATAATTGCCTAGCGTCGCAAACTTCATCTCTCATTAACCAATTACCCAAATTTAACGAGTGATATATTTTTTAAAAGCTTAGGACCTCATCTATTATGTGACACTCTTCATTTTTTTCCAGAATTCATTAATAAAAAATTTTAGAGCCAAAAATGGAATTTTGCATTATTTTAATTTAAATATGTATGATGTAATTTGTTAATAATTCATCAATAATGAACAATGTTGCAATTTGAAGAGTGTCACATAATGAACAATGGTACGGACTATAGATGTGCAAAGTATCAAGCTTCTATAATAAAAACCTAGAAAATTACATAGGTCCAAGTATTGCTGACACATGTCAAATTGCCAAAAAGAGAAAATCCACTTTAAAAGTTTCATTTACAGTTAATGTACCTTATAAAACTTCAGAAGCCCCCTACTTCATACACAATACCTACTTTCTCTTCAGCCTCATCTATATACTTTTTCTCAGATGCCCTATTGTTTTTCATCTACCATTAATTGTTTCTCTGCTTTCTTTTGGTGAGAATGTAATTTGTGATTCATCATAAACTATTGGCATGTCCAGCATGGTTGATCTTACAGTGGCAACTAGCTTTCCACTCTTGATATTTTGGGTTGTTTTCTTTCTTTTGCCATTTCTGACATTTATCTGACAGTATTTCATGTTCATTAAGGCATTTCTTGGTATCTAATGATGGCGGAAACAACACCATTGTGCGACACATGGTCTTGTCTTTGCCAAGTTCCATCAAGGGAAATTCCACATCCGCCTTTGTCATTTCCACAAGTCTCTTTAACAATCATGGCATTAAGTTCTTTGAATATTTGCATGGCGATAAAATATAATTGTTTTTGTTTGTGGAAACACCACGTAAATTTATTACTGCAAAGCTTTCGATCCGTAAGCCCGGATCTTCATCAGTGCTAATAATATGTGACTTGTTTAATTCACACGCTCTTTTTATATACAAGAGTGTCGTGATCTGTTGGCTCGCGTCATTTGAAATTTAATTAAACGGCACATCAACCACCTACGGCCATCGTATAAAATGGGACGAAGCAACCATTTTGGCGATTGATAGTCATAAGTTCTCTCGCAAACTGAGAGAGTCAATTGAAATCGAGAAGCACAATACTATAGATCAGGAGGGAAAGCCACTAGATAGTACGTGGCGTGCTCTCTTTAATGTGCAAAATTAATTTCTCTTGTCTTGGATGCGCGCGCGTTAATTGGAATCACTTCACTACGTTTGAAATGACGTGGTTGATGTGCCGTTTAATTAAATTTCAAATGACGCGAGCCAACAGATCACGACACTCTTGTATATAAAAAGAGCGTGTGAATTAAACAAGTCACATATTATTAGCACTGATGAAGATCCGGGCTTACGGATCGAAAGCTTTGCAGCAATAAATTTACGTGGTGTTTCCACAAACAAAAACAATTATAATCATGGCATTGTTTAGCATGCTGTCATTTGCCAACTGTTTCACAACAGGCAGCAGCTTGTTTAGCATTTTTGTAAAGTTCCAGCTGATTTATGGTGATTCCATGATGGCATGTTTATGACTTTGTCATACTTTGGTGAATGTTACCATAGTATTATGGCCTCGACCAATTTCTCTGAATGCCAGGAGGCCAAGGACTGCTCCCATATTAACTTCATATGATGGCCCCTTGTTGTTGTGAAGTATGGAAGCAGAATTTCCATTCACACTCCATGTTATAACATTGCATGACAATGTAATGGGAGAAGCTATTCTTTTTCACGTCAACATGGGAAGTCATGTTGTTCCCACACTCAAGGCAATGATTTCAGGACTTGATTAAAAACGCCAAACAGAACTAACAAGTCCATAAATATAGTACCTGCTTTAACAGTATGACCAGAATTGTAGCCAAACTTTACACTTACATCGTCTATTTTCATCTTAGATGGCCTAGGGTTTTGATCATCATGGTTCGCCGCCATCTTGAATTTCGTGGCCTTCTTTGACGGTGAATTTCTTGCCTTTTTTCTCTTTCTATTTCGATTATTTCCAATATTTTTATCGGTAATCACAAACAAAATAACAGAACGATACTAATATTCAACAAAGAACGGTAATTTTCGTCTAAATAATCAGAAATAACAAAGATTTTCGACGCTATGTTTACAGCCAGAGCTTTGCGAATGACCGCGAAGTTGCTATGAAAAAAGGGGTTGCCACGTACATGCAAAATGAACCAATCAAATTGCAGCTAACAAGAAGGACCTTAAAAAGCATACATCAAAAGTAGAAACTACAAAAGACTCGGTTTTTTAATAATTCATGTCAATTTTGGATAAAAACTCGTTGCTAAGGTGTTGCTAGGGAGAAAATTATTGATCATGACCACTTTAAAAGCATTTTTCGCATTTAAAAAATAAAATTTCATAAAAATAACTATAAATTCTGAAAGTACAATATATAAAATATATAAAACACACTAAACCAAAATTTTGAAGAAATTTTGTAAAATGATTTAATAAAGGGATACAACCACCTTATTAAAGCACTGAAAATCGTTTTCAGTTCAGCCTCTAGCTTACCAGTTACTGTTGCACTCAGTAATAACTTGGGAACTACGATATTAGCCAGCTTCTCACACACTTGTTTATAAACAGGGCGAAATGTATTTCCCCAACTGACAATAGTATGTGCCTCATCAAACACAATTCTTTCAAGCTTCTCTTTCTCAATCAACTGATATAACGCATTAATAAGTTCACCCTCTTCCAGCATTCCAGGAGTAACCACAACAACTTTAAATTTTGGTAAGTTAAGCAGCTGACTCTCTCGTACTTCCTTCGGGATGTCCCCAGTAAATTTACACGAGGAAATCTTCAAACGTCCACATGAATCAATTATGTCATCTATAAGTCACTTTGTAGGAGCAATAACAAACGTTGTCTTTTCGGATATAACAGCAGGCAAGAGATAAGTCAAAGATTTACCACCACCTGTCCCCACAATGGTTAAAACGTCATCGCCTTTCATTGTGGCAACTATTGTTTCCCTTTGTAAAGGGCGAAACCCAGTAAAACCAAAATAGTGCTTCAAAGTATTGTCTATAAGTTCGTCCCTTTCTAAATCAACAATACTTCGTGTTCTTGGTGTGTTCACCGTACTTGAAGGGTCATCATTCAAATCGTAACGAGATGTGGTGTTTTTTAACACAAAATTCAATTCAATAGATGGTATTTTATCATGTAGGATAACATTATAAATATACTTATCGCTGTTTTCATCCAGAACTTCGATTTCGGATGACATAACAGAATCCGATGATAAATATCCAAATTCGTTTAAACAAAACGCAAACTTCGTCGCTGATTCAAACGGTGAACTAGCTTGAACCGCTAAGTTTTCATTACGCCATGTAACTGTAAAGTTTTTGGCTGTATCAGGCCACAATGGGGGATCGGAAGACAGCTTTTCTAACGCGTTTACTAAAAACCACATATCAGTATCAGAACATTTGTCCGCCATATTTTAGGTTTCACTTTGCGACTTTACTCTCCCCTGCCAAGTCGTTACATTTTATCCCTACTCCACTCCTACTAGGATTGAAATTGCGTGCGCGGGCTATATGCGCAGATCTCATTGTATATGTCGATTTTTGGCAGGCAACTCTCCTTCCTTCCTCCTTCGCTTTTCTCGCCCTGCCCCTTTCCCGCCTCCCTATTTTTCCGCTCCAGGCCTTTTTAATTTACGCTCCAGTGTTTATTAATATGATATCGTATTTCAGAACTAGTATTTCCTTGTATTTTCTACGTTCCTGATAAATCTTTTATGGTTAATAACGTTGCAGAACTACACAGTTGCCTGCGGAGGAGGCTAGTAAAGAATACCGAATTGATTAAGAATTAATATGCGCGAGTTTGCTCTGTTGCTATGGCAACAATACGCATGCAAACATTCGAAAATATGGCAAATACGGGCGTTTATTTCAGAAATGAGGTCGGTGACCCCCATTTTTTAAATAGGTAATCGTTTTTATTTCTTTCAATGAAGCTTGTGTGAAAGTTTAAAAAAAATCTGTAATGCCAAATTTGCAGAATTGAAAATTGCCTTTTAATAAAATTTCGCATTGCAGATTTTTGAGATATTGTATTATTACACTTAGCGAGTATATATCTATTTCTATGCAAAATTTCAGGGTACCTTACCGAAGTCGTCTTCTCAATAATCAAGGTTTTGTATGTCTACATTCGGCGCGGCCAAAGTTTTTTGCCTTCTGCAGGATCAATGAATTGACATGCGAGTACATGTATTCGCAGGCGCAAGTTCACGCGACCGAACAAAACACGCAACGTTTGAAGAAACGGCATGGGGATTTTATTGTTGTTCTTGATCGTGAGTTTTATATCCGTACTTCGATTTAAAGTGCAGTAAAATGTTTTTGAGAATCCTTTTATGATTCGTTACTCGTGGTTTCTTGTCACCGGATCGCATACACTTTGGTTGTTGTTGACAATAATGCACTCTTGATAATATTCCAACGACGCCAGCATCACCGAATGTTTGGTACAAACAACCATAGATATTTTATATGCACTAGATAGCGCATCTCTTTTAGTAAAATTGAAGCCAAGAATATTCCAGCGGTTACCCCCATTTGAACAGATGGCGGCCATGTTGGTCGTTCCCACTTGCTAATAAACGCTTAAAAACAACAATAACTTTCATCACTTGAATAGTTTAAAAACGTATTTGGAATACGGTTAACTTAATGTTTAGGTTCCCTGTTTAAGAAATAGAAAACATACGAATCTTCTCATATTATGGGAACGACCTGAGACTGCAATCACGGCTTCAATTTTTGAATTTCAGAATAATTAGATGCACTATCTAGTGTATATAAGATATCTATGCAAACAACAAAAGTCTTTGTAAGACAAGTCAGAACCAGCGATTTTTAAAGTCATGCTGCGTGTGATTGGACTTTCACTTGCTTGTGGACAATATAAACCTCCTACAAACGTTTGGAAAAACTCGAGTCGTTTGTCTATGTAATCCAAGTCCATTCTCGCATCACGAACTGTTTGTATTTGGCTGCCGTTGACTATAGTTCTGATGTCAATTGCTAGTTCAGGACTGAATAATATATTTCGAAGAGCTTTGACATCCTCTAAGGCATCGTGGGAGTTGAACTCGTCTTTAAACAAGCACTGATAACCACTACTTATATTTGCACGACAGTAATCCCCATTTGTCAACTTCAGAGGGGCATACTGGCTTTGAATTAAAGACTTGATAAGTGGTAAGCTGTCACCAAAATTGACATTGATCTGATCAAGCTGTTCATCGTATAATTTCCCCGAATTTCGTAAAAGTACTGGAACGTCAAAGACAGCTGCATTGTGGCCAATAAGAACTGGTATAGATTGAGTACCGCAGGAATTGATGGAACAAACTTGTTGTATAAATTTGATGAAGCTTGACAAGGCGTTTTCAAGGGACATTGCTGCAACAGGAACAGAGTTTTTACACAATGATCTTGTTCCATTTATATTTTCAACGGTAAGATTATTCACTCTAGATGCCCCAGGACTTATGTTACTTTTAGGCATAATGTAAGAGGAGTACATGGAACCAGTTTGAGTGATCGCAGATAGTTGACATATTTCTGCCTTTGAACCAGTGTCTGAAGTCTCCAAGTCAAATATTATAAACTGGTAGGGCATTGTTTGGCTGTAAGTTTTATATACTACCTGCGGCCTTTCCATACAATGTGGAACAAGCTTGTCAAATTCCTCACATTGTTTTTTAGTAATTGTTTTGAATAACTTTTCTAACTGGTGATCATTTGCATTTGATTCAATATTTGCAAGACCTGGTGTGTTTTCTGTTGACAAATTAAGACCAATACCAGTTTCATATGTTTTGCCTTCTTTAACTTCATTTTTGGTATTTTTTGTTATCCGTTCATTTTGAAGGAGATGACGTCTTACTTTGCAGGTTTTTAATGATTTGCGGTAATTATCTTTCTCCCTTTTTTTGTCTAGTTTACTGTTGTGTGTGATACAGATATTCCCTGGCTCTATACCAAGATGGTTTAGTGTACTGTTGATGTAACTGTACCCGATGTTCTTTTGTGCTACAGCACAAGCAACCCGAAAGTCACTGCTCTCACTGCTACCGTAAAACCTTATTTTTGGGTTTTTGCTTCCTACGATGCTATTGAGTGCTTCATTACGTTGGGAATTTGCAAATGGTACAAGTTTCTTAACAACAGTTTCAGTTGTATATTCATCAAGTAAAGAAGTAAGTGCACTTTTTAACTGTTCACCTTGCAAATCTTTATGACGTGGGAGATCCTTGTGTTTATATGTCAAAGGTTCCTTCTTGAAACCACACAATGTTTCTTTACAATTTTTGTGGTCACCAAATGCATGTGGAACTATGCATTTTAATGCTTTCTGTAAACTTTCCACATCTTTATTTTGGGCTATGCAATACGAAAAGCATTTTGCCAGATAGTTGATCACTTTCTGACTCAGAGTAGATGAATTTGGGAATTTACAGCGGCTAGAAAGATTATATAATCTTGTTGTTAATGAACGTTTAGCATGCACAATGTCTGACCATTTCTCGACCCCATATGGCACATTCTGATTTAGGTGGCTAAGTGTGGTAGTATCGTCATCCCCAACATAGGTTGAAAACTTTAAGTTTTGTTTTGGCGCAGCATTCCAAAGTTCACATGCCACATCAGGTTCCATTGCTTTTGATGAACCGGTATGGTTCTTTCTGCAGTCGTGTTTTCGTGGACTTTTGCCATTTTTTTTTGCATTTTGGCATATTCGGCAGTATTTGCATCTTGTGGCATAAGCCAACACCTTTCCAGTTTTCAGTCCCATAGCCATCCCTTGTCCTGTAAGTGAATTATGTCCCTTCCCCCTCTTCTGCCAGCCCATGTCATAAGACACTGGTATGCCAATTAAACCATTACCATCAGGTTCTGCTCCATCCACCACAGCATCATTCATTTCCATGTTCATATTTTCTTTGCAGCTTATTTGGGCAACATTTTCAACAGTTTTTCCCACTTCTCGTTCCCGTGCTTTGAATGTCGAATGGTTCATGGTTGGAATGTTCATTGTTGACAGCAGATTATTCAAGTGTGTATTACCAATTCCAGTGTGAAGACATCCTAGTGCAGCTTGGGAGTTAATATTGAATGTTGGTTTTCCACGTTTACCTGATCTGTGGGTTGGAGAAGTTTCAAGATGGTTTATGGCACCACAAACATGGCATTTGATTTTGAACACACTTGCAAGACCAACAGTATCTTCCTTTAATATATTGCTAAATGACAATGGACCTGAAAGAAAATAGTCATATTATTGCAGAATAATATTAATACATGACTTACTCATTCAGTTTCCTTGCATTTTATTTTGACAAAAGTGATCATAATTTAATTTTTGGTAACTAACCTTTTAGGCATGTACTGCAACTTGAAAGAGTATTTCTTAAAATCTTCAGGTCAAAAATACGACAACCATCAAGTGACTGAGAATAAGATGTAATTTCAGAGTTTGCTTTCTATATTTTAAATAAATCATACAGTATTTATATTAGAAACGCTCTGACAGAGTATATTGTTTACTTAAACTTCAGTGCTTAGCTTCTTGTTCTATAAACTAAAATTGTTTTACTCACAGTCCTTTTCCGTGTCAAACATATTTCGCTTTCTTCATCTGTTTTGTCTTGAAACTCTAGCTGTCTTTTCGCCGACCTGATGCACTTCATTTTTTGAAATGTTGACACTGAGCTTGTCCGACTAAACTTTCCGATTTTATTCCGTTTCAAATTATCTTTATGCCATGTTGAATCATCCTCATCCTGCTCGTTTTCTCCTGCAACCAACTTTGTAATTGAAAATGCAAAGATGGGTGCAAGAAATCCCAATATCGAAAAACGATCGTATAGACTATCGCGATCATTTTCGCCGAACTTGTTTACCGACGATATTTGGCGCACGGAAACTTTAAAAGTCGACTTATAAATAGATGGATTTTTCTCTCTTTTGTAGCCAAGGTTTGTACGGTGTTTAACATTACAAATGGCATCAATGCTTGCAGAAATAGGACGTAAAAGTCGTAAAAAGCGATTCATTTTGATATTTGTTTATTTTTTAAATTTCCCGCGACGCCATTTAAAACCCGCGTGTTGCAAGTCCACGCAAATTACACGCAAGCTTAACACGCGCGAGTACATCGCTTTCTCGAACTTAGTCTTCCTTAAAGAAAAGTGTATCGAGCCACCTTAAAGTTATCAAGTTTTACGGTTGAATGAGAATAATATAAATATTCATATAATATCAATACCTCTTCATCGCTGTCTTCGTCCATTTCGACTGTGGCTTGGCGGGAATTTGTAAAAATTATATCCCTAATTCACCCCCAGTCTGCATTTTATCCTCAGTCTGCATTTTATACCCCCAGTCTGCATTTTGTACCCAGTCCGGTCTGCAGTCTGCAGTCCGCAGTCTGCAGATTATACTGACCGTAATACAAACTCTCAAAGGACGTCAAATATGCTTTCGAACGTTTTTAAATGCATGTTTCATGCTTATTTCGCTTCCCAAGAAACACGAAAGGTTAACTTAATTAGACTATAGGACATTACCCGAAATGATAGTCGAGTTGAAATCCTTAAATTGAAATTGTTAGTTTTTGTGCAAAATGGCAATTTGTTTTCATACAAATTTGATCAACCATGTTTCTCGATTTTTTTACTAATTTTTAAAGCTTGCGCCACATTCAAACGTTTGTATCTCACGTAATATTACATGAAATTTTTAGGGCTGTATATCAAAATCTAAATTAGCCTTTAAAAACTAAGATAAAACTTATTTGAGTGTAATAGCATTTATAGTTTTTACATTACATGAAATCAAACAGCGCAAGCTTTTTAGGGACACCCGGTATAGTATACTACAGACAGGCCCGATTGATAGCCATATTGCATTGAAGTATTACATTACAGTTAAATGACCCCGGTTGGTTGCTGCAATCTATGCTGCCATGTATTGTAAGTATTGTATTAAAGAGTAGATACGGCTCGGCTGCTACAGTACCCTTGGCCGTGTACAATAGTGTACATATTTACGCAATCATAACTCGCGGTGGCTGTGAATAACATGTTTATATACAATAAATTAGCGTATATTGCGCGTAAGGTGTGGTGGCGTGCGGGAATAACATAAAGTGTAAACGCGCATGAGGTTTACTGTGGTTTGACGCGAAGGTCGTGAGTTCGAATCTCAGAGTGAACGCAAATAATTCTTAATTTTTCTCTTTGTCGTAATTGGGTTTTTTTCTCATTTATTTACCTGTCTCATAGCTAGCTGTATGCATTGGGAAGATGAATTTAGACGCAGTTCAATAATTTTGCAAAAAATTACTGCAATTTTGGTGGTTTGCTGCTTTTGAAAGCATTCTATAACCAGTCTCCGAAATGCGCGCATTTTTTGAACGGACACTATACTACAGTACAGCCCGGCTGGCAGGCGAGCAATCGGAGATAAATTTCCGGCTGTCAGCCGGCGTCAAACGCGCTAATCGGGTGCATACGCAGGCTATATATTATGGCGGCTGTTCAGTGCAACGTGTCTGAAAGATGCCTACGCTACAAAAACATGGATTTTCCTTTACTGGATTACCTGGACGCATATTTGAATAACAAATATGACAAGGAAACTAACCCTCAAGTAAAGTGCCATTTCCTCTTTTAAAATCAATAAATTCTTAATAATATGCGTAAATATTTAGATGATTTTAAGTGTGTAGATTTAACTGGTCTGATGTTGCAATCATACTGTTGTTATAGAGGGTTTCCCCAAAAGTCCCCCTTTAGAAATCACTCTTGTGCGTACCTTTGGGAATTTAATTTGATTGTACATGAACGGCAGAATTAAACATGCGGTACACTCCGTATGTAAACTAAGACTTTGTTTTCATTTCGGTATCCAAAATATAAAATTTTATTCGACAACTATTTATATTTTCATGATTCAAGAGTATAATAAATTATCAAGACACAACAATCAAGCTTTGCAAGAACATAAAATGAAATAAGAACCTAAATAAACTGTTTGTATAATAAAAAGGGGTTCCTTTGTGCACATGCGCAGATAGGACTGTACAGCATCTTTAAGTATATTTTACAACTTCCCTTCTTCTAACTATAAATTGTTACGACAAATCATACATGTCCAATATTACGATATGCAACAGATGGTAAAAATGTTTTAACCATCGGTAAATACGAATACCGATTCGTCACCTGCAGTGCCAAAAAGAAACATAATCTCATTATTAGGATATTTACCGATGGTATGCCGCGGTGATACGATTCACAATCTGTCATCTGCAGTGTCAAAAGAATCTTGGAGCATAATCTTATCTTAATTGACGAGTTCAGGCTTACTATAACGCCTGAATACGACTTCATGAGTTTGCTTCGTTTTTAAGAAACACGCTTTATATATAAACGCATTGATATTTAAAACACCAGTCCGTGCATTTAAATATGATGTCTTCGTGAGTTTGCTAATTCGTTTTTAAGAAACACGTTTTATATAAACACATTGATATTTAAAACACCAGTCCTTGCATTTAAATATGATGTCTTCATGAGTTTGCTTCGTTCTTAAAGAAACACGCTTTATATAAACACATTGATATTTAAAACACCAGTCCGTGCATTTAAATAGGCTATGATATGTCTTCATGAGTTTGCTTCGTTTTTAAGAAACACGTTTGATATAAACGCATTGATATTTAAAACACAAGTCCTTGCATCTAAATATGATATGTCTTCATGAGTTTGCTTTGTTTTTAAGAAACACGCTTTATATAAACGCATTGATATTTAAAACACCTGCAGTCCGTGCATTTAAATATGATATGTCTTCATCAGTTTGCTTCATTTTTAAAAAACATGTTTTATATAAACGCATTGATATTTAAAACACTATAGTCCTTGCATTTAAATATGATATGAATTCATGAGTTTGCTTCGTTTTTAAGAAACACGCTTTATATAAACGCATTGATATCTAATACACCAGTCATTGCATTTAAATATGATATGTATTCGTGAGTTTGCTTCGTTTTTATGAAAGACGCTTTATACAAACCCATTCAGTATTATAGTGAAACACCAGTCCGTGCATTTAAATATGATATGACTTCATGAGTTTGCTTCGTTTTTAAGAAACACGCTTTATATAAACGCATTGATAATTAAAACACCTGCAGTCCGTGCATTTAAATATGATATGACTTCATGAGTTTGCTCCGTTTTTAACTCGCTTTATATAAACACATTGATAATTAAAACACCGGCAGTCCGTGCATTTAAATATGATATCCTTCATGACTTCGCTTCGTTTTTAAGAAACACGCTTTTAATATATAAACGCACTGATATTTAAAACACACAAAACTCTGCCAAAGCAGCCCAACTAAATATGATACATATACTTCATCATGAGTTTAATTATTAAACTCACCATCATCAGTATTTAAAACACACTCAGTTGGTGCAAATATATGCATGATAAATATACTTCATCTGTTTGAATGAAAATGCACAATGTGTAACTATATCAAAATTTAAGTCAGACATTACATAGTAATTACTGAATACATGCAAAGAACCTTAGTTCGTATATAAAATCGAACAGGAGAAGTTATATTACTATATTATATAGCTATATGCACTGTCTTGGAAAACAGCAGTCGAGTGGAAAATAGTCTGCATTGCCGGCGGTCCCTAAAATCGGCCAAGCCTGGGAAAGACCGCCTGCCATGCAGGCTAAGTGGAAAACGGCCTGAAGAGTATGGTTGTAAACAGAGTGTCAGCAAATATCTTTTTGGTACTTTTGCCTTACTAACGTAACAAATATCCAATAATACAATAAAATGCTTTTTTTTTCTGTTATCCTATAGCAAGTAAATGTTTCCGTTTCGTGTGGATGAATTGTTTAGAAATGTTATATTCACGAATGTCGCGAATCAGAATGACTATGTTTATTGGATATGATACAAACATATTGAGCTATAATGTATAAATTCTACTGTGTAACTGTATAAGTGAGCAACGCTATATAGCCTCAAATTTTGCTATTTTATCTCACGTATAGGAACTCCTAGAAACACGTCTCCCACGGGCAAAATATACTGTTTCGACGTTGAAACAACGTTGAAATTAGGTTGCCAATCTCGTCAACCCTAATTCAACGTTGAATCCACGTTAAAACAACGTTGAGATTGGTTCACAAATCGACGTCGTACATTTAACCATGAATTCAACGTCTGTTGGCTGCTGTTGAACCAATGTTTGTAAAACAACGTCAGAGCAACGTAGATATTAGGTTGTCGACGTCACAACCTTTTTTCTACCAAATTTCAACGTTGAAACAACGTCGTGTGCCCGGTGCGCTATCCTCATCAGGATATGCCAACGCACACTCATGACTGATAGATCCAATACAATAATCGATCTAACAGGAAGGTTTAGGCGCGCACTTGCAGCTGATTGGCGAATGACACCTCTTTTACAAGTTTCCATGCATTCGTAAAATTCGCCACTACTATACATACAACAACACGCAGTCTTTTTAAGCTATACTGCAGTATTTTTAAGCAACAAAAATTCTGTTTGAGTTTACACGGCGTTACCTTACACTTTTTTTTGCATACTTTGCAAACTGCAGGCGACATAACACAGGGGCGGATCTAGGATTTTTCGTACGTTAGTCAAAAATTTCGTTGCTGAACATTGGGGAAGGGGGTACTTTTGACTGGCGGAGGGGATACTTTGACGGGGGGTCGGAGGGGGGGGTGCCAAGCAAATTAATATTTTTTATATGTGTCCTGCTTACGAAAAAATGTAACTTAAAAAAATGCTTTTTCGCCGAATGTGAAACAGATATCCAATTCTCATCGAGAAATAGATTGACAAGGATGACTTGACGTTTTAAAAATTGTTATTTAATCGCATAGTTTTTTCCTTTGACATGGATGGTAAAAAAAGCAATATAGTGATGCAGTTTAAAACATTTGATTGATTGTTAAGCAGGAAGAGAATTTCCACGTTTAATTCACTGCTCCTCGAGTTTCATTCGTAGCAGAAGCATGCGCCATAAATAAGTATTCACAATGGCAACATGATCCATTGTGTACATGTTGTAGAGATCGTATTACACAAGGCCATGCTACATTGTCGTGTTCTTGTAGTTTAAAATATTAAATAGGTATAAACAGTGTTATTAAGTAGCGATCTGATTAATATATAAAGTCTACATGCCACAAGAAGCATAAACAAAGTATAAACACACCGAAACTGCCTGTATTAAGCCGCAATATTTATATAAATTGACGGAAATATTATGTAAATTTCGTCTCGTATTATTATACGTCTTATACGCGTACCCGCCGATATTATAGCATGCATGTGCGTACAGACGCACAATCCACCACAGTATACAACAGTCATAATGCTATATCTAGTTAAAATAGAATATATATATATCTTAAGTTAAGGCCGTACAAAAGATTTTTGTCTTCTCTCGAACGTACTTCAGGATGTAAGATTCCGCACCAAAATTTCGTGCGAGGAAGGCTGCTTATGTTTAATATTCACAACGCTCAATAAATCTTCGGTACACCGTTATCGCTTGTTTAAATCAGCTTCAATATCTTTGACATTTTGTCGATCGTCATTCACTAAAGCAGCCTTTACACTTTCGTAAATACTAACAGACATGGCTGGTATTAGTTCAGAATTTCTGATAGTAAATCTTCCCATTGAACTTTAATAATTTGCGGTCAAGCACAAAGTAGCGATCAGAAAGGGCCAGAAACGTCATAGACCTTTCCGTGCACGATCAAAAATATCCAGCCAATGGGAATTCAGGATTGTTTTGAATTAGCCAATCAGATAACCTGTATTCGAGCCCCTGATCGCTTTAGCGATCAGAACTCCCCACAGATCGCGCAAAAATCGAGATAGCCAATCAGATGGCTGGAATCTGACTCAGAGCGTGCAAAACTAATGGGTAAGACCGCTTTCCTGCGCGTTCATGTTCGAAGGCCTTGCTACTGAATGATATTTCAAAACTGGACTGTTAAACTTTCAATACATTACACTGCGCGAAGTTTGCGAAGTTTGATAACTGGACTGCTATTTTAATTTAACAATTTTCCATTTTTTTGGTCAATTTTTACCTTAGTCGCGTGATCGCTCTGATCACCCCTAGATCCGCCCCTGACATAACACACCTTATTGTATGTCACAAACTCCTTTATGCGTCTTGTTTGTACACGTCAGCTGTATTACAGTTGTAAACTCTGGCACAGATGATAGATTGTACCAGATGTCTCACTGTGTATCTATCCCTATGGTTTTCGTGTCTGCGATTTTCCCGAGGCTATCACGCCAGATGACGCGTGCGACACTTATTGCCAACATGGCGCTTACTGCAAAATGCGTGATTGCTCACGTTTAATGGCGTGGATTACACTTACTGCCAAAATGGCGGCCAACGCGTGCTCATAAAAAATCGCGGACACAATTTTGGCTGAGTGAGATATCTGGTATAATCTATCATCTATGGCTCTGGCTACGCCACTGACGTCATTCACTTCCTATCTAACGTACTGTTACCATCAACCACAGTTAATAAAATAAGATGGTTTGGCTAGCTGGACACCCCCCCAAAGTGCGGCGACGAACTTCTATGCCGAAAATCTTCGAATTAACTGCTTTTTCTAGCGAATTTTGGCAAAGTATGGCTGTTAGACAAGTCGAAAGAGCGGTCTTTCGTTATTTAAGTTACCTTGACCTAGAGTGGATAGTTGACAAGACACGAGGGCTTCGAAGGAGATTACGCGTAAAGAATGGCTACATAGATACTAAGAACAAGGGAAATGACTCCCGAACTGAAGCAAAAAATCGAGGAAAATAAGATTTTCCTATGTGAGCGTCATTTTAAAGAAGAATTGACATCTGATTGTAAGTACGGACTTTTTATCTTTGCGCGAAATATTGTAATTGCTCGGCCTTTGTCTTATTGTGTTTAATCAATATGGTTGAAATATTTGCGGTTTATATATTGAATGTATTTTAAATAACTGTGAATACTAGTCTAGTAATTGAATTTTTGCCCTTTTGTAGACTGAAAGAGGATATCGTTAGAAACAGGAGCTGTTCCAACTGAAAATCTGCCGTTAAAAAGCCATGAAACCAAGCCAAGCATACGTTGGGTCCTTGAAAGACAACAAGAAGCTGGCACCCGTGTAGAAAAAAGAAACGTTTGAAGAGTTTCGCTTGATCCTTGGAGTATCACAGCATGTACCGATGATGAAATGGGAATTGAACTTCGGGACAGCGATATTCAATTCACAAATTTGTGCTCATTATAGATTCATGTTTACATTTTTGTTACATGTTTACAATTGGCTTCTCCCTTGATGATCACAAAAATTATTCAAGCCATAGACGACAGATGAACCCTGCTGAAATTGCTGAACTTTTGCTGTCTCTTCAAAGGGGGGAATTCAAGATATGCAAATGTTTACGACAGAAATAATACCTATGGTCGTAAGGACAACTTTTGTCCATGTAAACAATTTGTCTCCGCCTCCACAGATAACTTTTCATTACCTGATTCCCAGGCCATCAAACAAATAACTGCATGTTTCAGGAGTCAGAAACTCGCACTTAGAGCCATTCTTGTAGGATGAGATACAGTGCCAGGGCTAGTGTTTCTCATATTGCCGTGCGGTAAAGTTGTCTCGGGGGTAGGGTGTCCCTAGTATCTGAGATCATATCAATAGCGTCTACGACTGCATAATTGTTGGTTTTTAGACTGCAATAGGCAAGACGAAAGTCTGCTAAGCATGAATATTGATTTAGCTTTCGACAAAATCGTTCATAAATTGGCAATATATTATCGTATATAGTGAATAGTTCGATGTTATGCTTGCCATATTCGAAGTCATTTCGCTGTCCCAGAAAGCATCCTCCTTTATTTTTGTCTTAACTTTATCAACAATGGATTTTAACTACTCAGGTGTTAGCGATATCTTCGATGCAGAAACGTTCTCTTTCCCCGCTGTAATTTTGTTCCCATGTTTTGCATTTTTTTGTCTCGTCAAGCCACCTTTCGACTTGCAAATCCTGAAATCCTGTCACAATTTTTGCAAGGAAAGTTATTTTCGACTGATATTTCGCTCACAGCGTCTGAGACCTCCTCTTCCATAGTTGCTTCGACTTCTTCAATATGTAGAAAATTACTCTCAACAGCCTCCGTAAATAATTTCCCTCAAAAATAATAATACTGTAAAGTTTAATACATAATAGATCTCATATTAATCCCGATACTGAGTCACTAGCTTCGACTCCTCACAACAACAACACATGTGCTTCCCGCCAAAATTTCCCCAACCCGATTTTAGGGTGGGTGTTTCCATGCAAGTGTTTCCATCACACTCCCCCGTATGCATTCTAGACTAGATGCATATGTTATAACTGTCCGTTGTTCTATGATCTAATAAAGTTCGGTATATAACCTTAATATTACTAATAGCTAATAATGTCAACGTTAATAAGAGTCCACTACTCTTGTTAATGATTAATGTTAAGTGTTTATATCTCGTCTTCTTCTTCTATCTCTTGGATTTGTCTAATCCGGGCGTTTGCTGTAGCTGCTGCGGCTCGCTTGGGTCGGAATTCTGTTGCTCTTGGATTTAGACTCACTCCGTTCGCGATCGGCTTGGCATCACAAGCTAACTCAAGTGGATATAACAATTGGACTGGCCTTTCTATTGTTCCCTTTCCAGTCTTGAGCTGAACGCCTCGAATAACTCCGTCTTTACCAACGAATGTTTTAGTAACCACTGCTAGGGGCCAAGTTCCTCGATTGTTGGAATCTGCTTTCACGATAACTACATCGCCTTCCGTCGGCCGAAATTTGCTCAATTTATGCGTTAGATTGTGTCTTTCCCTTAGTGCAGTCAGATATTCTCTTTGCCATCTACGCCACAACCAATCCTTGCACGATTTAAGAAATTTCGCTCGTTTCCGAATATCTTGTTCTGCTATTGTCCAAGTCTGCTGTTCTGGCAAATGAGACGTGCGCTGATATAGGAATGTTTCTGGTGTCAACGTTGGCAACTCTAGATCATCTTCAACATAGTTGAGCGGTCGACGATTAATTTGCGTTTCGACATCCAACAATACTTCACTAAGCTCCGTCCAAGTAAGAACAGCATTCCCAATTACTTTGTACATGGCGGACTTAACAATTGCAATAAGCCTCTCAAACTGTCCGCCCCACCATGGGGCACGACTTAAATTGAACCTCCATGTTATCTCGTACCGTTCTAGAATACCTCGAAGTCGTTCATCCTTCCGTAGCTGTGAAATCCATTTTGCGGCTTTAATAAATGTTCCACCATTGTCCGAGTAAATGATACGTGGTCTTCCACGACGCGCGATAAATCGCTTAAGACATGGTATGAACGTTTCCGTTTCCATATTTGGTAATAACTCTAGATGCACAGCTCGAGAAAGGCTACACGCGAAAATAGCCAAATATGCCTTTCCTTCCTTGTTGCCTTTCTGCTTATATCTGATAGGACCAGCAAAATCTCTACCGATGACTTCAAAGGCTCCTCCGACCGTGGTGCGTTCTTCTGGTAGTTGACCTGGTACCGGTTTAGTGATCGCTGACGCGCGGAATCTCTTGCACCCATAACAGTTGCTACGAACGATTTTGACTAAGCTTCGCAACCGAGACACCCAGAATTGCTCTCTAACTGCAGCCATAGTTAAGTTTACTCCCCCGTGGAGCGTTTCACTGTGTACTCGTTGTACTAACTTCTCTGTAAACTTCGCGCCTCTTGGAAGGAATATTGGATATTTTCCTTGAATTCTCCCGTGACATACCAGTATATTATCTGCATTAGTACGTAATCCTAACTCTTCCACCAACTTTGGATAGTGTGGTTCTTTCTGTACTCGTTGTTGAACACGCCGAATCCACCAATCGCGTTCTCTGATTACTTCTTCCGTCGTAATTGGTCCGGACCTTTTGTCGTTATTTCTGCAGTTGTGTATGGACCTCTTGATCCACACCCCAACTCTACAGGCTCGTCTTAAGTTTAAGCGTTCCAGTGATCGATCGAATTCGTCGGCATCTTCCTTGACATTTACGACATTTAATAGTTCCTTTGTTGCTCTTGCTTCCGTCTCTGAGGATGGCGAAGCTTTCGTCACCAAATTTTCTGGCCACTCACTCTCGTCTTGAAGCCATTTTGGACCATTCTCCCAAAGCGCTTTCTGTTTGATTTGACCACCCCGGCTTGCCAGGTCAGCGGGGTTATCACTTGTGGGCACATATCTCCAATGGATCTCTTTGTGTAACTGTATCTTGGCCACGAATTGTTTATACTGACCGTTCCCTTTGAGCCAATGTAGGGCAACTGTACTGTCAATCCACCCGAATAGTTGTGGTGTTGGGATATTATCAAGGGCGTTTCGTACGTTGATAAGCAGGTTAGTAGCCATGTGCGCGCCAACCAGTTCAAGCCTAGGTATTGTTAAGGTTTTCTTGGCAAGAGTACTTTTCGCTGCTACAAGTTGTTGAGTGGTTCCAGAAGGTTGATGAACCACCGAATAAACAGCCGCTCCAACTCTTTTCATAGAGGCATCACTAAATGCATGTAGCTCTACAGCTTCTATTTCTTCCTGATGACGAGTGATTGATCTTGGTACTGAATATTCCCCAAGCGTTTCTTCCTCCCATTTTTTCCAACGTTGTTGAAGGTTCTCGTTTAATGGGGTATCCCACGCCTTTTGAGATTCACAGACTTCTCGGTAGATTTGTTTACCTTCGAGTGTCACTGGTGCGATAAGTCCTAGAGGGTCGTAGATCCTGGCTAGCTTTCCGAGTACTCCACGTTTTGTCGGTTGAACCTCTTCTTTGGGGACTACTGCACTCAAAATGTCCTGTTGCTTATTCCATTTCAGCCCGAGTATCTTTGAATCTTGTTGGTTTACATTCAATTGTTGCTTCGCGTACTGTAGATCTGCTCGTCTTCTGCTTGTGTTGTGGTCTTGTCTTCCAGTTCAGGAACATTGGAATTCCACTTGTGTAGTTGAAATGTGGCGTCTTGAAGTATCTCACTGGCCATTTCCTTCGTGTGTTGTGCTTGCTCGGTTGTTTGTCCACCTGACAGAAGGTCATCAACATATAGACTCTTTCTCAGCTCAGCTACAACTTCAGGACATCTCCTTTCCCATGTGTCAAGATGAGCTTCTAGAACACCGTTGAGGAGAAACGGAGAAGGGGCAAGACCAAACAGAACCCGCGTAAAACGGTATGTCTCGATTTCAGCTTCTTCACCCGACCGCCAATGGAATCTTAGGGCATCTCGTTCGGTTTCTCGTACACGTATTTGTAAGAATGCTTGGCGAATGTCTCCGGTTACTGCAACTGGATAAACGCGTTGTCGGACTAGAACATCCCATAGTCGATTGAGAAGTGGGGGTCCGGGGTTAAGGCATTCGTTGAGGGATGGGGAATCAGGAGACGCACGTGCTGACGCGTCATAAACGACTCGTAACTTTGTCGATGATGCCGCTTCTCGCACAACCGGTTTGTGCGGAATATAGAACTCTTGACCCGAGGCTTTGACAGGAGCTTTCTCAACGATATTTTCTTTTACTTGACTGTCAATAACTTCGTTATACGCTACCGTTAAGTCCTTTCGCTGTAAACTTTTCTCTAGCTTGCTCAATCGATGTAGACTTCCATGTTCGTTATTCGGCAAATCTGGATGGTTAGCTCGCCAAGGTAACCCTGTCTCGTACCAGCCTTCTTTGTCACGGTGAAGTTGCTCCTTGAACTCAGCATGCACGATAGTTTGGTCATTCTCAGCTGCATCAGCAAGTCCAAGAATGTCCATTCGACATAAACCTTCGTAATCACTTTGTGAAGTTTGCGTCAACAGCATCCGGTTCCGGTCGAACTCTGTTCCAGGGCTCATTATGAACCATCCCATCTTCGTCAGCTCCGCGACTGGGCCACCTTCCTTTCTCACACAAAGTTTCGTCTCGGTCTTGATGCGTGCGTATTCGCCACTTCCAAAGATAACATGCACAGGAAGTTGACTCTTGGTGTCTTTGTCTGCGATTATCACCTCAGACAGATGGGCGTTGTCTCGTATGAGGTCAGCGTAATTTGGGTTTTCAATAGTGAGAAGTTCTGGTTTATTCACTTTGATGAACTTCACTGGCATTTGGTACTGTCCGTCAACGGATTCAGTGTTCAATTCGTATATGTCCATGCGTACACTCTTCGAGGACATAAGCATTTCAACTTGCCTTGTTTGTGTCGAAATAGGTTTCGCTTTCACTACTTCTATGAGTTTCGCTGAAATATATGAGCTCCCAGATCCTGTATCGATTAACGCTCTACACTTGACTCCGTTCACCTTGATAACAATAACTGGCAACACGCTTTCGCTCGACTGGTTTGTAGTCATAACTTGCTCCTTTCCTTCGACTTTTGCTGTATCACAGATGGAAGTGTGGTGTCGTTTTCCACAATTTTGACAGGATCCCTTGCTGGAACACTCAGCTGCACGATGGGTTCCAATCGCACAATTGAAGCATAATCGTTTTCTTGCTAGAATTTGTTTCCGTTCTGTCACACTAGTAATCTTGGTGCAGTTCCCTGCTTTATGAGTTACGTCACCGCAATAAACGCATTCACGTGACTTCGCATGAAAGGATTTGATTTGTCGATCTTTATCTCGATCTGTACGACTTTGGTCCACGGGGTTCCTCTTGACCCACTGGCGAACTGCCTCTGATAACTGGACATAGGTCCACCTCTCCCAGTCAGGGTCTGTTCGAACAAGATCCCCCCTAATCCCGGGGAGTTTGTCCAACGTCATCGCGACGTTGCCGTTAACCTGACTCAGTCTGTTCATTGTTTGCAGCGCTTGCATACAATGGTTAAGACGCTCACTAAAATCTCGAATTTTCTTGGGGTTTGCACCGTGAATATATGGCAAATCCATTATATCCTTGACATACGACTTAATAATTTCCGATTCTTTCCCATAGCGATCTTTCAGGATAGATTTTGCCCTGTTGTAGCCCTTTGTAGTGAAGGGTAATGAATCAATAACATGCTTTATATTGGGGTCAAGCAACTCACAGAGGTAGGTAAATTTCGTGATGGCGGGCATATTAGTTTTATCGACTGTTTCTGTAAATTGTCCCCAGAACCTTTGCCAATCTTGAAAATCTCCACCAAATTTTGAAATAACTAACTTCGGTAGTTTAGCTAATGTACTTTGTTGCGACTCACCTTGCAAATTCCCCTCTTTATTTATTGTCAGTGTTTCCACTTTCGCACTTGCTAACTTCGTCTCGAATTCCATTCTTGTTTTGAAAAGCATTGTTTCAAATTGAATTTGTTCTTCTCTCGCTACGTTATCCTTCTCCTTTCGACGCTGATCAAGCCATGTTCTCAGTTCTTCGACGACTTTATCCGACTCCGCTAGTTTATTGTCGATTTCCGTGTTCCAAGTTGTAATTTCCGTAATGTCTGTCTCGGCTTGTATTTTAATCTCTTCGACAGCTACTCGATTTCGTTTATGCTATTTGTTATAGATTTGATAGTAGCACAATGTCTCTCGATTGCATCTTGTTGATTCGATTCGACAATCGTACCTGTTCGATCTACAGTAAGCTTTAATTGTTTCAACTTCGTATCCAATTTCTTCGCTTCTATGTTTCCACTTTATAATCTCGCTTAAAATCTCGCTTAAAATCTCGCTTAAATCTCGCTTAAATCTCGCTTAAAATCCCGTCGTCAAGGTGCCACTTATAGAAAATTACTATCAACAACCTCCGTAAATAATTTCCCACAAAAATAATAATACTGTAAAGTTTAATACATAACAAATCTCATATTAATCCCGATACTGAGTCACTCGCTTCGACTCCTCACAACAACAACACATGTGCTTCCCGCCAAAATTTCCCCAACCCGATTTTAGGGAGGGTGGTTCCATGCAAGTGTTTCCATCAAATAAAAGACAACGCAATTTCAAAATTATATATAAGAGAAAATATCCTCGCAGGTTCCTTCATGTTCAAATAACGCCAACTCCTCGACAATGTTGCTCGAACAACTTTCGCCTTCCAATTCCCTGGGAATCGATACAATCGCCTCTAAATCGTCGTCCATAACTCTTTAATTGTATGATATGACTTTTGTTTAGCACAAAAATAAATGTTATTAGCTCCGTTATTTCGCGATGAAACATGAAAACATTGGAAACTATAATATAATCTTATAGTAATTGGTCTCAAGCCATGCACTAAAACCGTCACGTGACATCTTTTTCCTTTGATCCTCAACATATTTTGCCGCCGTCGCCTAATCCCTTTGAAGTTTGCCGGCTAGCCAAACCATCCTATTTTATTAACTGTGCATCAACTGAGAGCAAATTGCTTAACTATCATATATCAGTCATTGCTTTTCACTGCGAAACGTTCTTCTGCAGTCATAGCCGGGCCGTGAGCTAGTGCCCTCAAACGTTTAGTTTCACTATACACCTCGCTAAGCTAAAAAATACTTACATATTTATACTTACATATTACATATGGCGTTGGAAAAAGAAGAGATTTAGCATCAAAAATCAACGTCGCGTTGAACGTGAACGTTTGTTGTGGGGAAGGAAGTTTGCGATTTTGCAGAATTTGTGAGAGAAAGTTGAATAGTTTGAATGACTTCATCAGTACATCAAAGTCGGTACTTGAAAGTGTAAGAGAGAGAGGTTTATCCAAGCGATGTTTATGTTTTCACCACAAGTTTCGGGAAAGAAGGCGAACATCTGCGACTCTGATAAGAACGATGAAATTAATACTATTTCTGATAAGGTATTGCCTTTCCAAACTTTCCTTTTCGCACCACCTAAATTACCGTACTCTATCTTTAAGCCCGGATTGGGGGTGGGTGGGGTGGTCTTATTCTTTCTGAAGTAGTCTTATTAGAGAAAGAGAGAGAGAGGGTTTATAGAGTGTATACCTAGAGTATGTATACCATATAGTAGGGGGGGGGGAGAAGCTACTTAAAAGACCGTTTTCAATCAACTTGTATTAACTCTACGTTATCAGATCCATTACCGATAACTTATAGTTTACCTCAAGGGGCTATTTTATCGCCTTTGCTCTTTTGTATATACCTTAACGACCTACCCTGTGCATCTTACAATGGTGATCTTGAATCATACGTTGACGATACGAAAACTTTGCTATCGTTTCCTTTAACGGAAGCTGACACTGGAATTAAAAATCTGGAAGAAGACATACATAAAATTGCGTCTTGGTGCTGTGAAAAAAATCTTTTGGTGAATCCAGATAAAACAAAATTCATGATCATTGGAACCAGGCAGCTGATAAACGAACTTGATGTCAATATTTCGATCTCTTTTATCGGGAAGATTCTAGAACCTGTTGATTTTGCCAAAGATCTAGGACTTCTAATGGACATTCACCTAAGTTACGATAAGCACATATCGAATCTGGTGTCGTCCTGCCTTTATAAACTGTGCCAGATAAACAGAGTTAAAAATAATTTTGACAAGGGAACACTTACAATGATAATCACTTCATTAGTGCTCAGTAAACTGCTCTATGTCCCACTGTATGATTCAAATACAACATGCACTAATATAAAGAAACTTCAATCTATTCAAAACTTTGCATGTAAAATAATCACAGGATCTAAGAAATATGATCATGTAAGCCCATTACTTCAAGATCTTGAGTGGCTAACAAGTCGACAAATTGCTCTATTTCCGTGATGCCGATATGACTTTCAAATGTATGGATAACTTAGCGCCGAAATATCTTTGTGATATGTCTGAGGAGCGATGTTGTATTCATAATCGGTCTACGCGGAACTGCAACTCAATACAGATACCATTGTTTAAGAGCGGTTGTCTGTAATAGTCAGGTAAGACGTGTAAAATGAGAAAATTCAAAATCTTTCAAACTTTGGCAGAATGTAGGTCTATATAAAGTATTAACGTTGTGAAAGTTTTATTTCGATCGGATAAATATTGAAGGAGAGAGACGTCGAAATTGGTTTTCCCAAGCCACTTTCGATTTTTAGAGGTCATTTTACGGCACTACCAAAATCGCTCTATTTTGCACGTTAATGGGATTATTTCACAAAACATGATTTCTTTTTATGAATTAGAGATATTTATTGATTAGCAGACGAAATTTAGAGACATTTCTGTAAAAAGTGAATATTTTACAGATTTTCTTAATGTTTTTTATTTTTGAACCTCTTTATTATATGCCATATTAGGCAGCAAATATCTCCATTGTTACATCGATTCAAACAAAAAATTCATAACCAGATCAAAGAAATATGTTTTCGCTTGCTATTGATGAAATAAAATTTTGGGGCAACTTGGAATTGAATTTTTGACGAATTTTTTCGTAACCCCTATTTGAACGGAATAACCGTTGTTAATATAATCAGCGTCGAGTCATGTAGTTCAATAAATAACCAAAGAGCTCGTCAAAAGCGTTTATTTCTTCGAGTAAACAAGCCTAGGCTTATAAAACTATCTTAGCTAAAGCTGTACGATTGGTTAAAAGCATTTAAGTCTAAATCACACTGTTTACAGTCGCTTATTGTTCAAGTAATGCCCGATAGCTGGTGCCGCTGATTTGGCGGATTTGGTTTTAATTATATTTTATCAGGGATATGCCGCGATAAGTATAGCGACTATATTTTCTCTCCCCCTCCCATAAACTCGTGTTCTCACATAAATAGTGCACACGCTTTTTGTAAAAAACATAGGCCATTTGCAAGGTAATACGATGCAAACGTCGCATTGTTTTGACGTTTTTTTAGTCGTATTTCCGGTTGGGTCAGCTCGATCACTCGATTGTCTGAACAAAAATATAGACTAGCCATACCTTTCGTCGAAAATAACTTCCGCCCCTTCAAACATATCGTCTTTGTAATAGTCTTGTTCGAATCCCCATCAAAAACACTATTTAGAGTGTTAATTGCAAGCCTGTATCTTCAAATTTGCAGCTTTTACCACGGTATTTCCATTTCTTGTCCTGTTGTGAGCTCGAGGCTCGAAGTAATTTGATAGTATACGATCGCATTTCACTTTCAAACTCCCACAAATCGCTACAGTGTTAATAATGACTATAACTATCGTTCGGAATTACTTGATCTTTTATTTCTGAATCGAATAGTGGTATTTCTGTCTTTATAGCATGTACTGAACCGAAGATATGAAATTTCTAGCCGTCAAGCTCTCGAGGACGACCTCGCAAAGAGTTTTAATTTAATTAACTGCCCATCACTTTTAAAACAGCAAGACGATAAAGACAACGTGTACGGGTGAGTTATCCATGAAATAAATAGTTGGTTTACAAAATGAATTCCGTCTTTGTGAATAAAAATTAGTTATAAATAATCTCTCCTGTATGTGTTAAATACTACATGTAGGGATTTCCCCCGGCTGAGTATATTCCTTCTCTTTTGTATGGCTGCAGGGACGTCGCAAAGCCATCAACATTGGGGAGGGAGGGGGTGTCCTCATGTTTTGACCAACATTTCTTAGGATTTTGACCAAGTCGGAAAAAAGTTTCCCACCTGAAAATGTTGTCGACGGGGGGGAGGGGGGGGGGTTAACATAAGCATAGTCAAAAAAAATTCCAGACTACCATAAGCATTGTCAAAAAAATTTTCCGGACCAAAATAAGCAAATTCAAAATTTCTGGACCAAGATGGTCAAAACTTCCAATTTTTTCATCGCAAACGTTACAAAAGCTTTAAAATTTTTAAAACTGAGAAACCATTTATAACTTTGGACAACTTCAACCATCTTTTATCCCAAACTTTCACCAAATTTTTCCCAGTTTTACTTCAAATCAGTTCCATTTTCACCAACTTTGGGCAAATATTACTTCCATTTTGACCAACTTTGACCAAGGTTTGAATTATTGGGGGGGGGGGGTTACACCCCCCTTTAGCGACGTCCCTGTATGGCTGTTTGTGATTACTCGAGTCTTGTCACTGGGTCATGTGGTGCCAGCAACTCTAATCCAGCCGATTCAGAATGCGTTCTTCTTAATGATTGTGATAAAAGAAATCAAGGGACACCTGAGGTCGCACAATTCTAGGATTCCAGTTTGAGAACAGAGTCTTGTCTTCCACCTGCACGAGCCGATTAGTTCACTATTTTCTATCTGACATATACTTTTGATCCAATTTCAATTAAATTTATCCAACCATTTCTGGATGATACATTTACAACACAGGCAGTACTCAGGCCAAAGCATTCCGGGGGGGGGCCCTCTTTCCAGCATTCCGGGGCTCCCTCTCGGGAAAGTTGGGCCCCCTTTCAAGTTGACTTTTTTGGCCTGAGAACTGCCTGAGTGTTTTAGATGTATCATCCAGAAATGGTTGGATAAATGTATTTGAAATTGGAAAAAAGTATATGTCAGATAACGCGTAACCACAAACAGCCATACAAAAGAGAAGAAATATACCGGGGGAAATCCCTACATGTAGCTTAACACATACAGGAGAGATTATTTATAACTCATTAATTTTATCCACGACGACGGAATTCATTTTGTAAACCAACTATTTATTTCATGGATAACTCACACGTACACATTGTCTTGACTTTATCTTCTTGCTGTTTTAAAAATAAAAGTGATGGCCAGTTAAAACTACTAAATAAGTAACAGTGCATAGAAGTTTGGTCTGAATTCTGACCAAAGTTATTGAGCAACAACAAAATAATCAAATATACAACTGTAATAAATATTATCAAATCATAAATCAACAGAGGGTTGATTTATCAACAAACAAACAGACGGTTGTTTAAAAATAGAAAAGACACCTTTTGGCATGACATCACGGTGAAAGAATCCAGCTTTAATATTAATTAAATTAATTACTGTAAGTAAACTGACCTATGTTTTTGACAAAAAGCGCGTGCACTATTTATGTTCGAAAAGTTATAAGCACGACGAGTCGTGAAAGAACACATGTTTATGGGAAGGGGAGAGAAAATATACTTGCTATACTTATCGCGGCATATCCCTGATAAAATATAATTAAAACCAAATCCGCCAAATCAGCGGCGCCGGCTATAGGCATTACCTGAACAATATTAAAGCGACTGTAAACAGTGTGATTTAGATCTAAATGCTTCCTGCCAATCGTACTGCTTTAGCTAAAGTAGTTTTTATATAGGCCTAGGCTTGTTTACTTGAAGAAATAAACGCTTTTGACAAGCTCTTTGGTTATTTATAGAACTACATGACTCGACGTTGATTACATAACATACGGTTATTCGGGTCCAATAGGGGTTACGAAAAAATTCGTCAAAAATTCAATTCTAAGTTGCCCCAAAATTTTATTTGATCAATAGCAAGCGAAAACATACTTCTTTGACCTGGTTATGAATTTTTTGTCTGAATCGATGTAACAATAGAGATATTCGCTGCCTAATATGGCATATAATAAAGAGGTCCAAAAATAAAAAAATTAAGAAAATTAAATTTGTAAAATATTCACTTTTAACAGAAATGTCTCTAAATTTCGTCTGCTACTCAATAAATAACTCTAATTTGTAAAAGGAAATCATATTTGGTAAAATATTGCCATTATCGTGCAAAATAGAGCGATTTTGATAGTGCCGTAAAATGACCTCTAAAAACCGAAAGTGGCCTGGGAAAACCAATTTCGACGTCTCTCTCCTTCAATATTTATCCGATCGAAATAAAACTTTCACAACATTAATACTTCATATAGGCCTACATTCTGACAAAGTTTGGAAGATTTTGAATTTTTTCATTTTACACGTCTTACACGACTATTACAGACAACCGCTCTTAAAACGTCAGGTCAACAGTCATTTGGCTTTAAAGGAGCTTCAATGCAATTTGGAATAACTTAGACACTAAGCTAAAGAAATGTACATCACTCAAGACATTTAAAAGTCAGCTTAAAGACCACTTACTCATGTCTACTTAGACTATAGACTACTTTCTATTTTAGACAACTAAAAACTTGGATATCAGTCATTTTTATTTTTAACTTCGTAAAAATTGTAAATATTTTAAAATTGTACTTTTTATGAAATAATTTTGTAAATGGGTTCTGAAAAATGCTTTTGGGAAAAACCATTAATTTTAATAATAATAATTATAATAATAATAATAATTGGATATATAATTGTTTTTGTATGTGGAAACACCACGTAAATTTATTACTGCAAAGCTTTCGATCCGTAAGCCCGGATCTTCATCAGTGCTAATAATATGTGACTTGTTTAATTCACACGCTCTTTTTATATACAAGAGTGTCGTGATCTGTTGGCTCGCGTCATTTGAAATTTAATTAAACGGCACATCAACCACGTCATTTCAAAACGTAGTGAAGTGATTCCAATTAACGCGCGCGCATCCAAGACAAGAGAAATTAATTTTGCACATTAAAGAGAGCACGCCACGTACTATCTAGTGGCTTTCCCTCCTGATCTATAGTATTATGCTTCTCGATTTCAATTGACTCTCTCATTTTGCGAAAGAACTTATGACTATCATCGCCAAAATGGTTGCTTCGTCCCATTTTATACAATGGCCGTAAGTCCAAGTATGTTTAGCCACAGCAGATTTATCTTGGTCGGCTTTCTCGCAATTCGTCTTGTCTTCCTTAAGACGTACTGAGAGATTTCGACCAGTTTCACCAATGTAAACCAGACCACATTCACAAGGAATGCGGTACACACCAGGTTTCTGAGATTCATTTACGTTGTCCTTATGTGTGCAAAGAGCTCGAAACAATTTGTTTTCGCTGGAATGGTATACCTTTATACCTGCTTCATTCCTCAAAATTCTTTCGATTTTGTGTGAAGCTGGACCAATGTATGGTAGACAAACAGACGACTGATATTCAATCTTCTGCTGTATACTCTGTGGCGTTTTCATAGCATTATCTATGAAATGCCGTGGGTAACTATTCATTTTTAGAACATTTCTTAAATGGTCTAATTCATGGTCAATGTTACTTACCTCACAAATTGTTTTCGCTCGGTTGATGAGTGTCTTACACACAGAGTTTTTAATACTAGGATGGTGAAATGAATTATAATGCAGATACCTGTCTGTATGTGTTGGTTTTCTATAAACCTTATGTCCAAGCGACCCATCATCATGTATAGTGAAAAGAACATCTCAGAATGGTATAGTTTTATCATCCTTCTGTACTTCAAAAGTAAACTTGATCGATGGATGCAAACTATTGATGTGGTCTAGAAACTTTTGTAAATTATCTAGTCCATGAGACCAGCTACTCAATGGGTGTTTTTTAGTAGCCATGCGACATTCGAAGAAGGAATTGAAAGATGTGGGTCCATGTATTGGTATGTGTTATGCAATTTTGATGCAGACAAGAAACCATGAATTGAGTTTGGTACAGGGAATTAACACAGTTTTGATGACCAATGGGGGTGCTAAAAAACAGGTAACAATATATTGGCAGAGATGGATTTACTGGGGGATGCGCACCCCTATCTCTAGCCTTGCACGGCCAGAGGAAGTTCAGGGGGGGGGGTGCTATTTTTCATAATAAAACAATTACATTTTATCGCCATGCAAACATTCAAAGAACTTAATTCGATATATATTACATTTTGCATGGTTGTAAGATTTACATCTCATTGACTCCTGCCCCTGACACCCTGTATCAGTTGATTGAAAGCTATAATTAGCTTTAATCCTGAGTTAACATAAAACGTCAAATCAAACTTTCTAACAACTTCTCTACACATTCTAACAACTTGTCTACTTGATCATTTGGATCAATAAAATGTTTGTTTTGTGAAATTTGAATTAAACAAAGAGAGCGAAATATACAAACAAAAAAATGGGTTAAATTTACCCAGGATATGCGAAAACCCAGCTTTGAACAACCGTCCCCGAGATGGATTTAAATAGAAAAATTAAGAGAGAATAATTTATAACGGGGTATTTAACCCAGATATTTATGCATAATTTTAGGATTGACTAAAGAGGGTACTATGCTTCTTGTAGTTCTTTAGAATTTTTTTAAGCCAATGTTAAGTCTCTATATACGTGTTATACTGTTATTTGATTGGTGTTACAAGGTTAACCAAATTGTAAACTATCATTACCCCAAAGGAAGAATTTGGAGCCGAAAGGAAGAATGGATTAAGCAAATTGATCGCGATTGTTTTTAACTTTGCCGAAAGAAATCACCGTCTAAGCTTAGAATGAAGGACTTCTCAAATATGAACAGTTTTAGCTGGGATGAGCTAGTTACAGAGATGTCGGATCGTTGTCCAGTTTTGTTCAATGCTTTGTTAGTAGCCATGCGACGTTCGAAGAAGGAAGTGAATGATGTGGGTCCATGTATTGGTATGTGCTATGCAATTTTGATGCAGACAAGAAACAATGAATTGAGTTTGGTTCAGGGATTTAACACAGTTTTGATGACCAATGGGGGTGCTAAAAAACAGGTAACAATATACTGGCAGAGATGGATTTACTGGGGGATGCGCACCCCTATCTCTAGCCTTGCACGGCCAGAGGAAGTGCAGGGGGGTGCTATTTTTCATAATAAAGCAAAAAAATTATTAGAGACAAAATGAGGTACAATAATTTGAGCAATAACATGTTGATAAGCAAACTGTGAACAACAATTACAATTCAAATACTGTAGTCAGGCAAGACTTTGCAGTAGTGAAGCAAGTTGATGGGCAGGCGGCACACATAACCGACACAACTCGGCACCAGAACTGGAAGAGCACCCCCCCCCCTCCCCTACCAGATCATGCTGGATCCATCCCTGTATTGGCACAATACATCAATTTATTATGGTTTAGCTGATAAACTCTTTTAATATATACAGTGTATGTAATATGTATATTGTTTACCGTTTTCTCTTTAGTAAAATCCCAGGGGGTGTATAATTTTCAGTCCCCTTCGAGGGGTCTTATTTGAGAAGGGGACTTGTTTATTTATCAATAAAATCTTAATAGCAAGCACTGAACAAAATTCATGTGTAAAAATTATCTTATAAGTTATAACGTGTTATCATAAGGTATGCTATGTAAAATGCAGTATATCCGTACGAAATTGGGTATTAATGGACCTAAAAATAAAATACAAATTACTTTGATTAAACTGGTGTTATGGGGGTGGGGGAGGGGGAGAGGGCTAATAAAGAGAATGTGATATGTATAAAAATCATGTTTCATTTTCAGCTTTATGTTCAATGTCAGAAAATGGGATTTTCCCTGTCACACACCAGCAAAATTAACATGCTTGACCTCATCGGTGGGCACTTTTCAGACAAACTGTTTGAAGAAGTTAGATGCGGAAAGAAAATTCAAGGCACTGGTGGCAACTGGGACATGAAAATACATGCACAAGATATGCTTTCAACAAATCGAAACACTGATTTGCAGTACTTTGTTTCTAATCTTATCATTGAGCGTGTACCATCAGAAAATCTGTCAAATGTGTCCCCACAACTTAATATATCTTCCCTCCATAACACAGCTTTTCTTATTGACAGCAACAAGGCCAACAAGTTGAGAGATGATATAAAAGTGGTGGTTGGAAGAGCTCTGCTGCAGAAAATACCGGACTTGTCGTTCTTGAGACATGTCATTCCCAATCATATTGCACATCCGTACAAGACAGAAATGTCCAAAAAATCAATCATTGTTCCTTTACCAATGATGATGAAAGATGAAAAAGAGGATGAAGATGTAGTTCATATCCTTGACGGTTATGAACAGCATTTGGAAAACATCTTTGTTAAAGCCGATGTCATTAAAAAACCAGTGGAGGATACCAATAGCAAAGCACCTCCAATAATCGGCAGAGAGTCAGCATCAGCAGATCAGGCAAAAGCGCATTTCAACAACGATGATGAGAATGACTATATGAAGAAGATATCTGTACCGTTCGGGAGGGGGACCAGATGACCAGGGTGAGGTTTGCAGGAGGAAAAGATTTGAGAGTTGGTGCAAATACTGCAAAACATCGTTTTGATCATTGTTGTCCGTTTGTTGCCAAGCTGTTCCACACAAAGATGGCCTATGTTCAGGTAAAAGAGAAATAAAGTTTAAATTAATAAATATGCCAAATAACTTCAAACACACAATGTTGCCATTGAATATTTAAGATATAAATTTATTTGCTTAATATTCTATTTTGTATACAACCACCTATACAAGGCAGAATCGATCAGGGAAGTTGGCACCTTAAAGTTCTTTCGTGAAAAATTCAATCACCGTAATGTAACTCCGAAGAAAGTTACTGATTCTTATGAAGGATGTGAGCAATTGCCACTTCAGGTGGATCAAGCATACCTTTTGGAAGCAGCAATGGAATTTTGGGGAATGGGGAATTTAGAAGAAAGCCCAACCAGACATGTACCTCCAGCAGATATCCATCGCCAGTAAAATGAAAAGAAGATGGAATATTTTCAGGAAGTTGTTGGGGAATTTGTAAATGAATATGCTTTGCCAAAAGAAGAGCAAGAAGTTTCAATTTCAGGATCGGACAATGTAAGGTAGGTGGCATGCTGAAAAATAATATTTTAGGATCGCCCCATTCATAATTGACTTATATTTTTTGACAGGGCATATGGGCTCAATGTTATTGAGCTTGTAGTTTTCCTCATGCAGTTGATCGATGCATGCAAAGAGGGTGATGGAGAAAGAAGCATGATCAATAAGAAAACGCTATTAATTTACTTTAAGTCGTCTAACTCGTTTAAAAACTATTCTGTGGAGATGTTCACATGGATTGCCCAAATCAAGTCTCTGTGCTTTGAAGAAATGGCTCACCGCTTGAAATGGGGGCAGATTTGTAAATTTGAACGGTGGCGAAGGGAAAAATATAGCGTGTAATATGGGGCAAGAGATATGTAATCGTGTCAGCAAAGATATTGTCAAGGAAATGAGGGCCAACAAGACTCCTAAAGCAATGATGAGGGCATCTAAAGCTGCTGCAGGTGTCGATCAAATAGTGAAGAGAGTGAATGAAGTCAGCAATATCAAGCCAGCATCTCAATCGTATACACACAAGGAAACCAGTAATGAAGAAGTCATGATGTTTCAGGATCTACAAAAGTTACAACCATTCAACACAAAGAAAGGCAGATATCATCATAATTTTAAAGAAATTGTTGTTTCACCAACATCATCAGTTAATATGAGTGAACTTTTCACACATGGTTAGAAAAGCACAAAAAGCAGATTGCTATGGGAGAAACAAAACAAAAATAAAAGGATTTTTCATGAATAGAAACGACTCAAACGAGTAAATATAACTAGTATATATAATTTGTTTTGTTGTAGTAGATAATAAAGTGATCAATACTAATATTATAGCAGAGCAAGATATATTTATATCTTAAAATTAATTATTGCTACTCAAGTTTCACGCCTAATTCAAGGCGATCTTCAGGCAATTAATTCAGTGTATGTTTGATTCGTCAACATCAACGGTCGGTCGCTGTCGCGGAGACTTGTCTTGAGAAATCGCTTTGAATTTGTACGCGCTAAAATTTTCCATATGGAAGCTCTTCGCATAAAACTCTGATCGCGTGTTCAGTGATTTCTTCCTTTCGCTTTCAAGATGCATAACTTTTCTTCCAAACAGAAGCCACATAGCTTTCCACCAAGCGTGCACGCAGAAGCTCTTTTCAGGATAGACCACGTAATGCTGTAAATGCCAACCACAAAACGTCCTTCAACCTGTACAACCACTCGTCTGATACAACTAAGCTTTCCAAGTATGTTTGGAGTCTGAAACGGAGTGGAAGAAATTACAGCATCAAGTGGTCTATCCTGAAAAGAGCTGCTGCGTGATATATATATATATATATATATATATATATATATATATATATATATATATCGTAATATATATATATATATATATATATATATATATATATATATATATATATATTATATATATATATATATATATATATATATATATATATATATATATATATATATATATATATATATATATATTGTGTGTTCATATACTAAGTCTAGTACATGTTGTAAGCTTGGATATATGCATGTGAAGTAGTGATTGTTGCTCAAGCTTGTATTCAGAAAATATCTGAACTCCGTTGGGAGTTCTAAAATGCCTAGGTTACACATGAAAAAAAATTATATTCTTTATTCCATTGAGTCGCATTACGCCCCGATGCGTCCTACTTTATTATTTACTCTTTCTAACGCAAGACGATTTTACTCAGAGTGCTGGCGCTTAATGTTCTTTATTCATATTTGATACTTGTTTGAAAGTCATATGCTAGGCTTTCATTGTTACTTTTAAATTGCACCTGTAGAATATAAATTACCAAAGCATGTTGTTTTTTTTTGAATGGCCTGTCCAAGCATAGGTGGTGCTTTTGTCCTTCTGACCCTACTTCAGTATACTAAACTTGTATATGTTGAATGACCCACTTACAGACCAACCACTTTGAAAACTTGCAGATATAGAAAACTCGAAATTGACAGGCAAACCTGGAGATATGATTTCAACTTCTTTGACTTTTAGTCTTTTACTTCAATATTTAGCTGCTCCTAATGTGCTATGAGTTGCTAGATCCTACTCATAATATGAACTCCAGTGAGTGTTTGTATGATCCGGCTCCGACCATTCTGCCTACCGTACGTGGGTTACCGCCATCTGGTAATTCCCAGGAACCCACCAAATTACATGTCATGAGTAAATTAAATTTCCATATAAACACTCTATCCTGAATAAGACAGGATGCCATTTGAGCATTTGCAAATGTTTTTTTTGAAAAAAGAAAGCACTTGCTAATCGTTTAACCCATGACTTACCCACTGAGTAGCAGCACTCCCCCTTTACAACTAGAATTATCTGTCAATTAGACAGAATGCATGAAATAATAGAGTGGGGCTCATCAGGGCGCTCAGCCACTTAGAGGGTTAGATTGTCCATATAAACAAGCCATATATCACAGGAGAGTTTACGGGCAGGGTGAGAACAATATCGCCACTTTTAGAATTAAGTTAATTCATTAATTAAATTTTAGGGCATAATAAACATGGGAATAAGTGAGAATAAGATAATTGCTGACATTGTGACAGCCAAGGTTAGTGAAGTATTTTTGCTGCAACACTGTCAGGTACTGCACGATTGTTGTGGTAAAAAGTAGATCGGGTGTTATTTTTGTATCATTTCTAATTGCAGTTAAATCAGCATATCGAATTTAAGGAAGAACACGCACATTATGGTGATTTTTGTGGTACAAAAAGGTAGATGTGAACAATTGCTTTTGATTTCTGAAATCTTAGTATACAGTGGTCTACAGTAGGTCATCATATTGCCAAAACTGTACAAGCTGTCTACTTTGGCAAAAGTTTCAAACTTCACAAGAATTGTCAAGCGTTTATAATTGTACATGAGCAACGTCATACAACTGCGATTATAGACCCTGTTTAAAGTGTGTGTGTGTTGAGGGGGCGGCGGGGGGGAGGGGGGGGGGGCACGAGAGCACAGAAAGTTTCTATATTTGAAATGGAATTCAGTGGGCATTGTAGCCCTGAGGATCTGAAGAGCCACTGTTGTGATATACATATCAAGCAAATTTAAACCGTATTATATATTTGCCAATTGCATTGAGTTCGGTATATGTAAAACAATTAAGACGTCTGACTCAGTACAGTAAGTGTCATTTTATGGTACCGATAGACGTGTTCGTTGATCTAATCAGGGAGTCCCAGAGACATATGGGGCTTCGCGCTGAACATAACTTTGGCCGGGGGTGCTCATGATTTCTTTGAAAGGTTCTTAAATTGAAAGATCTATTTCAAAAGCACTTGAAAAGCACTTGAAAATACAAATTCTGTTTAAAAACCTTGTGCTTGAAAATCACACAAATATTAATGAAAAAGTAAAATTTATATTTAATCTGAAATTTTTAGAACTGTATCATGCAAGTAACGTTACATGAGACCCATCTACACGATAGACTAGTCGTATACAATTCTTATCCTGGCGTACTCGAATAAATGGGTGTAAAGATGTTAACATATTGGAAATGGCGTCAGACGTTGTTTTCATACGCGAGAATGACAATTTTATAGAGAATACTGAGGAATTTCAGAGCTCCCTGTCCAAGTGTTGACAAGGTTAAGTAAACGCAATACTTGATGTATTCAGTCTGAACAACTCCAATGTGGAGTGAGCTGAATAATAATGTAATGGAAAAATTGAAATATCAGGTCTCAGGAATGGAAAAATCCTGCATTCTGGGGCACTTTAGATGGGGCCCTGTGACCCCTTTCCAGGAATGAATGAATCCTGCCGTTTGTCCAATGGGCACGTCTGAATTTAATTGTAGCAGCGCTAATTTTAGATCAAAATCACACAGAAGGGGCTTTTATTTGACCAATCAAAGGTTTGGAACAACGTTGAAAACCAATATTACCGACATTGTTCAGGTCTCCATTGCACATAATTTATATAAACATATCCACTTGTGCTTACAAAAATTCCGTATTTCAACATCGGTGATCAGCGATGGTTCCATGGTTCCATCAAACCAATGCTCTTTGGTCCCTGCGTGATTGCTTGTTTGATACTTACTGTATTAATTTACAAGTACAATCTCGACATTGAAATTTTATTTGATAAATTTCCTGAGATTGTGAAAAATTTTAAAAATCCGCACTGGTCGAGCTAGGATTCTGAAGGATTTTGCTCAAATTGATCGTCGAGGCCCACTCTTCTACTGGAGTACAATTACAATAAAATGATTGTACTCCTAGCTCTCAACCAATCAGTATTCAGTAATGTTGTCATACAAATTGAAATGTAATTTGATAATCCTCGCCGTTTGCTCATTTCTCAGTCCTGTTGCTCGATGATCGATTAGGCGAGTTTTGAACAGTTTTTGAAACATTTTGAAACTCAAACATCTCATGAAAATTTTCATTACAAAAAGAAATTGTTTTGGTTGAACTCGTGACGTAAAAAGTACTTTTTCTGTTGAAAAACTGGCAATGTATGAAAAATCCGAGAATAGTGCATTCATTGATTTATTTCACAATACAAGAAATAAAGTAGCTCGAGCAACAATTACGTAATCGACGTTTCGTAATTCCGTTAATTATAAGTAACAATTAGCGTGTATTATAACAATTTTGCTTGGGCCTATCCCGGCGATCTATGCAACCGAGTTCTTGGTTTCATGGATTTCTTGAAATGTCTCAATTTTCTTATTTCTTTTGTTATTTTCATAGGTTTCGCGAAGTTATGGCCGCATTTTTCGAACGTTACATGAAGCCCTTGGAGAAAATAGATCCAAATGATGTATGTGCAATGATTTGGTTCGTGGTTTTGCATGATTTACTTGATTTTTGTACTTACCCATTATTGCTGTTACATGAGCGTTCTGTTTTTAAATGCACGCTGGCATGATACTAATCTGAGAACGTTTCTTGAACGACGCAATAAGACTAAGGGGTAGCCAAATTGTATCATATGACAAATTGCATGATCCACATTTTATCTTAAATATGCATTTTTGTACAATACACTTATTTCTGTAAAAACATAAATGCGTGGTGTTAGGTCTAGATTGTTTGAAACATACTGGAAAGTATATGTGCCTTGCATCTTATTACCTGGAAACGCGAGAGTTCCATTATATTTTCCAGCTAGTTTTGAATCAAGCCATACTGGGGCCGATGCAGATATCTTGTTCGAATTAACAAAAATTTCATCTTCTGAAGTTTTAAATTACACACGGATTTGACGATGTACTGCACCGAACCAAAACAGTAGGTTAAATTGTAACCCGCTAATCCAGCTTCGAACAACCGGCCCTTGCTGCACATACTGTATACCTCTGGACCCTTACGACACAAACATTACAGTTAGATGTCAGTGCATAATCCAGTCGGAGAGAATATCTGCCAAAATTATAGTGTAGATTCGGCATAAAGCGGCTAAATATCTAAGGTAGGGAACTTTATCATATTCTCCTTGTGAGAAGAATTGTTATACTTTGCTATCTAAAATAAATTGAATACCATGCATATAGATGGGATTCAAATTTCAAATTTTGGAAAACCTGATTGTATCACTTTAAAATTATTGTTGTGATGAAAGAAACGATTTTTATCACTTGGAATAGTTCGAGACACAAATGGACCAACAGGTTGGGTTAATATCAGGATTTTGGGTATCTCACTCAGTGGATATAATTCTAGAATGTTTTTTTCGGCGGAAATTTTCGAGTTTCTATTATATGTGTGACATTTACACTAAAAAAGTTCCATCAACAAAACCCTTCTACAATTGTCAATTGGGCCAAATGGTGTGGCTGTGGTCCCCACTTGCACCAAATATTAATGACAAGTCCTGCGTTAAGTTGATATAAAATTGCAGTTGAATGGACAAAATCGGTTACTTTTTGTTCATATGCAAGCATGAGTGAATAACTTTTATACTTAATCCCTCCTATCCTATTGCTTAGTTAACTTTAAGATTAAAATATTTATTGCCTTGTTTGGTTTTTATAGATAGTTGTCTTTAATGGTGGTGCAGCGTTAATGAAAGCTCTTTCCGCGACTATATTCAACCCTGGAGGTTAGTCAATCTTTTTTTTTCTCATTCTTAAACAATCTTTGGAATTAATGCTAACCACAACAACATACTGAAGCAACATTAATAACTAAGGTAGTTGACGGAAAACATACGTGGGAACTATTAAAAAGATTTGTCAAAATGTCATGTCGCAGCCTGTTGTATAAACCCAGTGGCGTAGCCAGGGTTTACAAAGTGAGGGGGACAAGTTGAACGCCGAAGGTGCAAACACTGGGGGGGGGGGGGTGTCCGGGGCCATACTTCCAGTTTTGTAATTCAGAGCTTTTGAAACGCCATTTTGGGTTGAGATTTTTCAAAATTCAGAAGATTATAACATCATAAAATAAACAAAAAAAGTAAATTTTAAGACATTGTGTACTATTTAATTTGAAAGTGAGATTTTACAGGATTCAGAAGATTATAACATTATATAAAATACATGAAAAATAAAACATTTTACGACTTTGAACTATGCAATTTTTCTTTTGTGTCTTTTTCTATTGTGTTGTATGTTAATTCGGTCAAGAATGCCTGCGGTTATAATTCAGTTATTATGGATTGCGAATAATATGCTGGACATGAAACCGGATCAGTGTTGACCCTCCCCAAATTTTTCATTGGATTTATTAAACATATCTCAAAGGTTGTTCTGAAGGAAAGTGGGAGAGACTCGCGATCGTCCCCCGCAGCTCCCCCCCCCCCCCGTGGCTACGCCACTGTATAAACTAGAGATGTGCATCGGATCGAATTGGACGTTTATAATCTGACAATTGCCTAATGTTTAAAATCAGATCCGAAATTGTTTAATCCGAATCCGATTAGATCCGAGTATTGGAAGAGAATTACAATCCGATCCGATCCGAAGAATTCTTTAATCAAATAAATTTCTTATTCAACTTGAAATGATTAATCAAATAAATATAAAGGCAAGAAATATATGTCAAAAGCTGACAAAGTGACGTCCAATTGAAGTATCAAACAAATAACGGAGCGCCAACCGCGATGATGCTTTGATAAATGCATGAATAATTAATTCTTGAGACAATGCGTGGATAATTAATTCATTTTATTTCGGATATCGGAGTCCGATCCAATCCGATCCGACTACGAAACAACCTTATCAATCCGATCCGATACCAAATGAATATTTTGGTTCCGAAATCCTAACGAATCTGATCGGATTCGGATCGGTTTCGGATCGGATTTGCACACCTCTAGTATAAATTAAACCTCTACATTGAGTTCATTGTAGCTGGATGTATCAGAATAGGGGACTGTACATACGTCGTTCTAAATGACAAAGAAGCACAGTGCACTAGCTATATATGGTCTACTTTTGTCACATCTGAAGCTCTATATATTACATACATTATGGTGTCTGCTGTTGATTTTTTCCTTTTGGATTAATTTATCGATTTTCTTCATTTTCAGAGGCTATACTCATTCCAGCGCCGTTTTATGGTGGATTTGAACAAGATCTTTTTATTGAAAACGAAATTATTCGAGTTCCTGTTCACTTGTCTAGCAAGGTTAGAATTGTTCATTCATATATTTACTAAATAAGATTCATCAATAATTCGTGAAGAAAATTCAAAGAAAATAAATGTTTTGTCAACATCTGCAAATCAGATAAAGATTTCGTCCTGATACACATACACCTTTAATTTTCTCAGAGAACAAAACGCACACAACTGTTATATAGTTAGTAAACTTGGAATCAGTTGTCGATGTATTCTACAATACAGTATATACCTGTACATAGCACTCATCTTTTGTGGATACAAATAATGACCTTCTAAAAGATAAACAAGACCTAAAAGAGGCTAGAAAATTACAGACATTTATATTTTGATAGAGAAATAAATTTACCGAGCGACAGAGATGGACTGGGTTTATTATTTTCTGAGATGTCGTTCACACCGGGCAAGTTGAGTCATTTGCTTGGTGTTGCCTGTCGGGATACATTACATTTAGCGAAACTCACGTAACCACGACGCAGCCAATCATATCACATTTAGCGCTCAGCAATAGATATGCATGTATGCAACAACTTGTGAACCTGATCTTGCTAAATAAATGTATAAATTGCGAACGTTTATACCAGAAAAGCTATAGTGCTAGCCGATATCACTGGATTTTTTAAAATACTTACATGTACAGTACTATGGAAATACTATGAAACAGTAGTGTCATAATAATAATATGGATATAGTGTGGACATTTATGTATGTGCAGTAGTAGTAATGCAAATGTTAGAGAGGTTCAGAATTGACTTCCATTACCGCTACCTCTCACTGGCCTAGCTAGCTAGTAAGGAGTGGAAAAGGGCAATAGGAGACGGATGAAAAATGTATGCCATACTATATTCTAAAACACGCACCCAAGAGAACTGCGATTTAAAGAAAAAGTACAGAAACATCGCTAACAAAGAACGGAGAAAGGCAATGCGAGTATACTGGGTGATAAAGTCTGACGAGTTAAAGAACAAACCAACTGCATTTTATAATTCCTGTCAAACCATTTACCAGTGAAAACCGCAAAGAACTGACAGCAATAAGTTTAAGAACAAATGAAGGAGTGATAATAAAGAACCAACTTGTGATTGCAGAAACTCTGGCTGACTATTTCTCGACTGCAGCAATTAATATAGGAGGTAATCATGTTAAAGACCTTGTGCAAAGTCACCATTGTAATCACATTAGTGTCACGTCTATGGTAAACAAGGATTACAAAAACATTGAAATACAGATAGATGTTCAGATAATTATAAATACTAACCATATTAGACTGCTGGGTGTAGATATTGACGAAAGTATTAACTTTACCTATCATATTAGTGAACTTTGTAAGAAGACCAGCCGAAAAGTCGGGGTTCTAATGCGACTGCGTAATCTTATTCCAGGCTCAGCTATATTAACAATCTATAAGTCATCTATTCTCCCATACCTCACATACTGTCACGTGGTATGGCATTTTTGTAAGGCCTCTGATAGTAGAAAGGTAGAGCGCATTCAAGAACGAAAACTAAAAAGAAGTATGTAGAAGCAAGTCGGAATCATATGACACGCTTAAGAAATCGCAGATTACAAAATATTGCAAGTATAAAGTAAAAAATATATGTATAAAGTAAAAAATATATGTATATATGTATAAAGTAAAAAATCATGCAATTGGCACCATATCGTGCAGCTGAAATCTTCCGGGTTAAAAAAAGGACGGTATTCAAGGCGAAACAGTGTTTTTGATATACCCAGATTCCAATCAGTTGCTTTTGGTATGCATTCGCTATGTTACTTTAGCCCAGTACTGTTCAAAGTTGGATAGCTATATTAAAAGATTATCCAGCCTTGCGATATTTAAGAACATGATTCGCAAATTAGACACTTTGAAATATTATCACAATTTAAAAAATTAAAACTTGTTCTGGATATTTTTTTAGAAAGCTTCATGATCGAGATAATTTAAATTTTTGTCTTTGTTTTTTAGATTAAGTTTATAATAGACTGCGCGATTGCACTATTAAGTGTAGTAGTGTAGACTTGTAAACAAGTATATCTGCTTTTCGTCTCGTATTTTTCAGAGGTGATTTCGTTTTAATTTTACTGTCTAGATTGTGTAGACTTGTATACAGTACGTCTGCTTCTCGTTTTGTATTCTTCAGAAGTCGTTTTATTTTAATTTTATTGTCTGGACTAAAGTTGGAGTATTGTGCGGATAAAGGAAATGTGATCATGATCAAAATAAGTGATGCTTGGAACATAAATAAATTAATAAATTTCTATAAATTTCTTGCAGAGAAAGCAGGTGTCAATTTTCCCGCCTCTTTTGTTAGTAGAAGAGCAACATTTAGAGATAAGCTGCTGCAAATTGTTGGGGACGTTGTAGAATGTGTACAGTCGTTTGTGAGGGGGCCATCTAATCCAAACACCCTTCTTATTCCCAAATTGCCAATGTTGCTACATCTCAGCTATGCAGTGAAAAATTAGCAGTTGACGACGACTTGCTTACTATGCCTGCGTTTCAATGCAGTGACGATATTTTTCTGTCCCTTGGCCATGTTGCGTTTAAGATACGCGTTGATTTAAGAGGCAAGCCAGGTTTTGAAGAACTTGATGGACGCCTAAGCATGTTGGAATCGGAAGCACGCTGCATTAATTTACCAGATCAAAAGATCTTGTTAATCTTTTCCACAAAGCCGGCCATATTCTAAGTTATGACCAGAGAAGATACCCGTTTCGCAGAAAGTGTTTTAATCTCGTTGGATCCAAATACTGGCACTATAGTTCCACTCAATTTAAAGCAGGGTAATTTTATCCATTTCTTGGCGGATAACATTGACATACTAGATGAAACTATGGATGGCAAGAATACGTTTCATCTCACACAAATAACATCATGGCATCGCGCAGTTACTGAACGGTGTTGGACCATCGAAGAAACGAATCCTCGATGTTCCTGAATCAATAGATAGAGTCGATCCAGTGTCTCTGGTGTTTATCAAGGCAGTGAAGACAACGTGGTTTAACTCTATTGAAGAAGATGAAGAGAAACGCACATTAGAAGCTACAGATTTAGCATTTCACGTACTTAGATGGAATGTCGTGATAAAGAGTGGTTGTACCACATTTAACAAGTTCATATGTCCCTCTCAGCAAGCAAATGTAACAAAAACAGGATATATGCCAATTTGCGGCAAGCACCAGCACAGAAATTCGACGCACTTAATGCAGTTGTTAAAAGGTGTATGCTCGTCTCTAGCAAGCTTGGTCAATGCTACACGGTAATAACTGTAGATCAGGCCTTGTACTGCAAGCTCAATGAATTGAAATGGCTGTGCCGCAATACCAGGACAAACTTGTTGTGCTATTCGGTGGTCTTCGTATATCAATGTGCTTTTTGAAGACTATTGGCGACCACAGGAATGGATCAGGGTTAGCAGAGACATGGGTAGAAAATGACGTTTTTACGGTTTTTCTACGGTTTTTCGAGTACACCAATGAAAATCTTGCAACGAAAATTGCTGATTTGCAGTCATCATTAGAAAACCCTGTCCAAGAACTGACAGGAACTCTCAAATCTTCAGAGTTCAAACCGTTTTTGGAGTATTCATAAAAACGAAATCCCTTCAGAATATTATTTTTAAGTTTTGATAGAGATACCTGGAGATGGTATCCGTTCTGCTTAACTTAACTCGAGCACAAAGAGAAGGAATCTAGACTCCATATTGAATGCTTCCATATTTCTTCAGATATGATCATCTCAATTACGCTAAGTGAGGATCGGTATTCATTGGAAACTTTGTTGTCAAATTGAGCGAGGGTACATTTAACCAAGTAAGCGCAGATCACAGTTTTGAATGGCTCAATAGAATTGGTAAAAGAGAAGGAGGAATTGTTGGCATAACCAAGACATCTTCAGCTTATTAGATCAGGTAAAAAGCTATCTGCAGATGAACAAATGTAGTCGAAAGATTAGCAATAAGCATATTTTCTCTGTAAAATCATTTAAGGAACATTTCATGCGTTAATAACACTTCAACAGTGCAATTTAAACAAGAGTAGCAGTAAACGTTTTATCAGATGTAAAACGAGAGGTGTAGCCAAGCGTTTTATATCCGATAAAACACGTGGTACGAGTGTTTTTAATGACTTAATGGTGAGTAGATGAAAATTTACTGTTTAACTGTGTCTTTTAATGGGCTCTATCTTATAATTTGCTCTCGGAGATTACATTTGCTGTGCCCCTAGGTGAGTAAAAAAATGGACAGAAACATAATCTTTCGAACCGATAGAAGTGTTATTTAGCGTCAGTTTGTTACGGCGCACGAAAATAAGTCGCCCTATTTGCCGTGTCATTGAAAACAGGAGCGTGTTACTACTTCCTAGTAACTGGCCCAACTTCTTAGCATTACCCGAGAAAAAGGCAGATTTGGCAAGATCCCTTTCCGAGCATCTCATTCCAAATGCGCCACCCGATAAAGTAATTGTTGTCACTGGAGGATTTAACGATGGAGAAAAAGCACAATGCTCAAACGAGGAAATGGATTTAACCATATTCTATAAAGCACACGAAAAGCAGACACAAGAATTATTTATCACTGTACTCCAGCATTTGTGACACCGTGGTTGTATCAGCGAGGGATGCAGATGTACTTCTGTTTCTCATGGCACGTGCAACAAATATTAGTAGCGCAAATATATGGATGATAGCTGGAACAGCGGTTCACAGGAAGTTTTTTAATATCAGAGCCATCAGTGAAATCTTCCAGAAGAATCAATTTCCAGTATCCTTCCCTTCCATGCTGTGACTGGTTGCGATACGACATCATTCTTATGCAATCGCAGCAAAACAACCGCATGAAAAATTTTCGTGCAGAAACACAATCTTTCATCGTTTCTGGATGAGAGAAATTTGACTCCAACCAAAATTAAAGACGCTGAAAAGTTTGTGTGTGCGATGTGCAGTCATGGAGAGGTTGAATCTGTAAATCAAATCCGAGTTCTCCTGTTTCCCAAGTGTGAAAAACCGCAAGCACTACCTCCAACAAGTGATGCGTTACAACTGCATATTAAACACTCCCACTATCAAACGTTGGTGTGGAAACAATTTATGCAAAAGCGGATGCACAACATTTCACAGCGGCTGCAAAAGGACAAATTATTCTGCACCAGAGTTTGTGGCTGTGCGGTGAACAGTAATGAAAACAATCGTTGCAAAAACAAGCCCACAAGCTAATTAATCACGAAGAGAAATTTATTTTAATTATCAGCCATTGCCTAAAAATATGATGATGTCATGTTACTACCTATTTTTGTCATAAACAGTGACAGAAACTATACCTGAAAGTATTAAATATCAGTATTAAACAAAAAAGGTTGAACACGTCCATTAAGATGGTAATACGATGGATAATGACGTCAGAGAAACGTCATAAACTGTTTATTGATAATAATTTATTGATTAATTTATCATTGAAATATTCGAAAGGTGCTAACTTTATATTCAAAAGAAGAAATTCATATTTTTACTCAAATGATGCTTTAAATCATACATTTGTTGAGCAGTATAATTTTCTTTTGACGCCATACTGATTACGAACTTGTGACGTCATTTTCACAATAAAAACGTGAAATCAACACTGGCGACAGGTATATTCGCATTCAGCGGGTGAAAATACATAAGAAACGGTTGTTGCCAACTTTTACTACGAATTGCCTGATTACTTCACATATTTTGCAATCTCGCCTGGTCTATTATCGTTATCGTTATCGTTATCGCTATCGGTTAATCGGATATATCAAACGCATCTGATTGGTTAAATGGTCCCTTAATTTTAGTGGAAGTCCAAATCTGAACCTCAGACTAAATTATTTCCATAATACTTCCATTGTACGAGAATACCGATCTGAACTTTATTTAACTGAAATTTTTAACTGGAAAGTGTATCGCTGCGATGTGTAAAAGTTGTTGGTAGTTGACACGTTTCATATGTGCGTGTCGTTGAATTAAGGCGCGGAATTTTCTTGAATTGCTGAAGTTATTTTCTAGCCCAAAATTTGTGAAGTTACGTTTTCTATTTAGTTATATAATGAGATCTATTTACTAGCCTCATCCAGAAACCAACATGCCATTTGAACTTTCTGTCAACGACCTGGAAGCAGCTCTGGCCGGGGCAAAAAAAGACGTAAGTCCAAGTATTATACTGTATGTACTGTATAATCTGATATCCAGTTAAAATAAACTGTGTCAGAGTAATCGAGTTATGGTCTATAATCAGAGAATCTTGACAAATTTCTAAGCGTCTGTACAGTGGGCTACGATTTTATATTGAGATTGTGAGTTCGACTAGATAACGCCATTTGATGCGAAATTGTAACCAATCTTTTCTTGAATGCATTGCAAAGATCAGTGAAAATGACTATAATTTAAATTAACCTCTTTACTTGTAGCTCTATTCCTTCCCCAGATATTCAACTTTGTTTGATATGAAAATATCATCAGTATAACAAAACACTGCATTTACCCACAAAGAGGATATCTTACCAAAGAGCTACCAAAGAGGTTATACAGTGTATTATAATACTAGAAATACATGCATGCAGTAACCCCTCGCCAATATTTTCCAAACATTAAACATTATGTATTCAGAAATGACCAGCACTGAACGCAGGCTCGCGCTCAAGTGTTGCCATGACAACACGATATTCTTAAATTTTTATTATCATATATTTTGTACAAAACTGCAAAATAGTTATAATATTCGTACTTTTAAATATAAAATAATATATTTCCGAAATATATACTGTAGGTATATTATTTTGCATTTTGTGAGCTTTGATTTAATGTAAAATTGAACTTGAAACGCTTCGTAAAATGTTTTGAAATGTTCATTCAAATAAACTACATTTTGCCGATAAGCTGTTTTTACTTAACAAAACATGATAAGTTTACTACAAATAAAACAAATTGTTAGGTAATTTCAGTTCAGCCTCAAATCAATTTGTTCGCCTTTACATTTTAAATTTTTTTCTAAAATTAAACGGTAATTTATGAAACCTTAGAGCTTCTGCAGTTCATGTTTTTTATTAGGCAAAAAGTTAAAGCAAAAAATTCGTGAACATTAAATATTCAAAGCAAACTTGCCATATATTTCACGATTTCCCATAGTAAATCAATTCTTCTCATTTCTTCAAACAAAATTGCTTCAAGCTTGTTGTATACGAAACGATTTTCCAAATATATGTCTTTTAAAATCGAAATCTTGCTCATCCCACGTACTCCTACAAGCAATCAGTCATTTTTGAGATCAGTGAGGATGACCACCCACTCAACATCGTTGGTGACCGACGCCGCGATATTTGATGAACTTTAAGGTGGCTCCCTACAGTTATAGTCCAGTTTAAAACATTTATATAGCTCAGACGTAATCCTCGCGACTCGCGCGTGGAATCTTCGTGGTCCGGTAAAAATCTTGAAACAAGCCGCGGGAAGTTGTTTTTGTATTTTTATCTACAAAGAAAACGCCAGTTTTTTATTATAATCCTAAACTTTTCAACATTCGAACAGTATGTATTTTGTTAGCTAGTTTTTTACCTACCTTCTGTGTGTTTCTTTATATATTTAATACGTTTCAGTAACAACAGTGTCACGGACTGAAAATTATTATATTTTATACTGTCTTCAAGGCACTCCTGAACTATCACTGAAACTTACGTAAATCCTGTCATTCAACTCAGTTCACATGTACTTTTTTTATCTGCTGAATCCAATAAAACTATAATGCAGACAATTACGAGTTGTTTTATACGAAATGTCAAACTCTACTTGAATGTTTTGAAAAGTTTTCACGCCGATTTTCACAACAAAACTACATTTAAGAAACGTTGGATTAAGTCAGTGCGTTATTGTGTTCTCAATGTTTTGTATTTTGAATATATATATCTTTTATTTTCATTTCAAACTAAGTAAAAAATATCTGTGTAATACATATAAGCCAAAAACTCAAAGAGAAAATTGCTAAAAAAGCCAACTATAAACCGTACGCGTTTCGTGTTCCTCACGCAAATAGTGATCATGTCGAATCGATATATTTTGTCACGTCAACAGCTTCAACTGGATTTAGGGCTATTTTTCTCGCGTTTCCTTCGGTGAAATTTTTTTAAACTTTGCACGTTTGCTAAGCATGACGATTCGCCAAACATATCAAAATTTCAAGAAATTCTATAAGACAGATTTTTTGTAGTCGTTATTCATGAATATCTCAAAACCTGCCTTATAAACATCCCTTCAAATTTTAATATGTCATTCCCTTTTCAACCATAAATCTTAAAAAAAAAATTCAGAAAAATTGACCGAAGGAAATAAAAGATATTGCCGTTTGATTGTAAAATTAGACAATAAAAGTGCAAAAGGTGAAACGTCATGGTTGCCATGGCAACACTAACACTGTTCATATTTGTCCATTTGTCAACAGCAGAAGACTTCTGAAATTTCCTGGAAATGATTATATTGCCCTGTCTTAAGTGTGTTCAATATAAATTTGGTTTAAAACGAAGGTTACCTAAAATATTATAATTTTAGAAAACTGTAGGGAGCCACCTTAAGCCGGTTTTCCACTAGCGATTTTTTTCGCGCGAATCGACTTTATTCTTTTGTCTAAAACTAATTAGTTCCAAATGGTTCCAGCCGAAAGCTCAATGACAAAAGCAAATATCGCTTCGCGCGAAATAACTCGCTAGTGGAAAACCGGCTTTAGAACTGCGAGGAGCTTCGTGCGAGGACTGGAAATCCGCCTTAATGCGCGTGCATTGTGACGCAATAATGCACGCTCTCAGTTCTTGAATTTTCCCGCTGTTTCCCCGCTTGCGGCAAAAGTAAACAAATTTAGTTTTTAAAATACAAAATTTAGCAGAAAAAAAACAACAAAATATTGAGGTTAAAAACTAAAATGCATGAGCCAGCCAACGAAAGCAAACGCACTGAAGAAAGCGAAGAAAGGTTTGCAGCTATTTCGGACACTGAGCTAAATGTTCTACTCGAAAGTCGTGATTCAAAGTAGCGACAAAAACTGCTAACACGTTCTACTATAGGGTCCAATATTCTATTTACCCCAAAATGGTGCCAATTTTCGTATTTTTAAACAAATTTGTCCAAAACTGAAAAAACCCAGAAAAATTGGTGCTTAAAAACACCTTTTGTGCAAAAAAAAATGCAAATTTTCTTCTCTTGCTAAAACAACCAAATTTACCTAAAATTAACAACACATTTTATTGACTGTTCTGAAAAGGATCAAATAATGCAAAAGTAGCATGACAGCTAACGGTGAAAATATGTTGGTTTAACCAAAGGCATCTCTGATCAATTTATATTTGGAAACTATATCAATCATGTTTCGCTCGCTACTCTGGTTTAAATAAACGATTACAAAGCCCAGTCGAATTGTAATCAAGACCCAACGTTTCGACACTCCAGTCTAGTGTCTTCATCAGGGGTGATCTAAAACTGCGATCGTGGCTTCTTAAATACCCAAGGGATGACGTCACCTGCCAAGAAGATGCATATATTCTTCTGCCAAATAGGCGCCGTCATCCCTATTCAAGGCATGATGACTCATATTT